CTCAATATGTAATATGTATATGAAAATACCACAAAAGAATTCCAACATGCATAGTCCGTATATATTTGCAGGCCCATGGAGCATTTGGGTACTATTCTGACAATTCTTGCCACTTTTGGATTCGGGTCAAGGGGGCTCCCACAAACTCCCCAAAAATCTCAGTCTGACTCTGCTATAGTTTGAGGGTGTACTGTAGCACAAGGGCGTAGTTTTGCAACATTTAGAGGTTGACATGGACAGGGTACGACTAGCCCAAGAAACTACCCATTCCATCCCAATTCCACAATACACACAGAGCGACGCACTGACTTGAAGAGCGCCTTGAACTTGCCCACCCAGCGCCCAGCGGCGCTCGGAGATCCGCAGGTGCGCATCCAGTATGGCGGCAGCGTGACCCCCGAGAACTGCAAGGAGCTGATCACCAAGCCCAACATCGACGGCTTCCTCGTAGGCGTCCTCGGCACGGCACGGCGGCTTCCGCGGGAGCAGCGCCGGGGGCACTTGGGAGCTTTGGTGGGAAGAAAGATGAGCGTTTGCGATATCCGATGGCTTGAGATTGCTTGGTGATTGGCTTATTCTGATGTGTGTTTGGTCTGGAAAAAAAAAGGTGAACGAGTGGGTGAACGATAGGGTGAAGATGAAGCTGCCAAGTGAAGGAGTGATCCGACGCAAGTGTTACACATCTTCTCGAACTCCCAAGGATCCGCTTCTACAGCCGGTACTCCACTGCTATGGGTACTCGACACTGTACTCCACTGTACCTCCGTTCGGCCACTGAGTTCCACGGGTTTCACTGTGGGGCGAAAGAAAAGGGTTCCACTTGCACCACGAAGCACGGGAAAGAACTCGAAAGCAAACGAAGAAACACGCGAGACGTGTAAAACAGGAACATTACACCGGCATAGACCCCACCAAAAAAGCGGGTGTATGATATAGGTTTAAAGGACGTGGATGGATTGATGATTGTGCGTTTCCCGGTTCCCATCGGTGAATTTGTTATTGCTCCGCTTCGACAGGACTCATCCAAGGAAAGCAGCCGCGGACCGGCTGGCTGTTGACGTATTCATATGCTGCCTGGACTTGTTTGTCCTCCCTTCTCCGGGACTCGATATCACCTCCATGTAGCAGAGAAGAAGGATGAACACATATGAAAACTAAATCATAAATCAATATAAATCACCTCTCTTCTCTTTCTCCTGTCCTATCTTCTCCATGTCACAAAGCTCCTTTTTGCTCGACATGGCACAGGTGGTGCTTCTTTGAAGCCAAGCTTCATGGAGATCGTCCGAAGCCGAGGGTTTTTCTTCGGCCTGGCCTTCCGCGCGGGCTTTCAGCGTTGGACTGTGTGTGGTTGGGCGTTCGGTCGGGGGGCGAGATTGCTGACGTCGGTTCTCTTGTTCGGATGGGATCCTGTGGTTTCGGAAACGCTGCTGAAGATGATCCCAAGACGTGAACAGTTTTGATGTTTTCTTTTCATGGGATGATTCATCACAGCTCCACGTTGATCTGTCCCATCCATCCATCCATCCATCCAACCAACCAACCAACCAACCCACGAACGCCAGAAACCGGATTCGGATGACCGGGTCCAGACGGAAGGTTTCGCATTGACGACGGAGAGATCAATCGTTTCCGCACGGCGGTTTTGAGGTTGAAACGGTTTCGCACCTGTTTCAGGTGTCGCCGTGCAACGGAAACCAGGTAGGGAGCCACACCTGAAACAGGTGATGTCCTTGGGTCTTTCGCACAAACACAAGGACATGGACTGTATGACTTATGTCCTCCTTCGCCTGAGCTGTTGAGGTCACTGCTGTCCAAGGATGAGCAGATTTTGCCGTTGTTGAGCTTCACCTGCTGGGATGACATGTCCAGCGTTGAGACTCGAAGTGGTCCAGCGCTGAGACTCGAAGTCGCGGAGAAGCGAGGAGATGGTTGGTATCGGTCAAAGGGCGGTTCGACCCTGAAAAAACCAATGGCTATTCCGATGATGACTTGGGTTTCAGGTGGAAGACTTGTTAAGACCGGACCTGTTGCTTTTGATTCTTGAAGACCTACTTCTTGGAATCACCGGATTCCACTGCAGCACCTTTCCGGAACGCTTCTTCGCTGTGTGCATCCCCCTCGGTGCGAAAAGAGGCACCATGTAGCTTTCAACCGGGTTATAGGACCCATGAAAGGCGGGTGGTCCCAATGGGGATGGCGATCAATCATAAAGGTAGATTACAGATTGGACTGCACTAGATTCCACACAAACCACAGGTTTCAAGGGGATGAGAATCTAAACAATCTGTGGATATCTGGACATGAAGGATTCAGGAGAATTCCCCTTTGGACCCCCCACCCGTGGATCTTATTTCCTCAAACCTCACAGATCAAAAAGCCCGAGCCTTTGCGCGAATCGACCAGGGTTGAGACGTTTATGCCACGTTGTTCACCTGCACGCGAGTGCCGGCGCCGTTCCGGAGCCCGCCCGGTTCACGCTCTATGCGGTGCCGCTGAAGTTGACGACCGGCGCAGAACTGAAGCGACAGCACGGGCGACTCACGAGTTTTTACGAGTTTGCAGCTGAAACTTGCCTGGTAGATGACCTGATCTGAGGGCGGTCTATATTTTAGGCTGGCCAGTTGTTCAATGAAAAAAAACAGCTGACCCCCACGTTTGGGTATGGAACATACATGGTGAGTTTTGCAACGGCGGCGCTTTGAACGGAACATCAGGTCCAGCCACAAGGGCACAGTCGCCTCTACCACCCTAGGGATCTGAGTACCTTATCAGATCATTGGAGACACTGTTATGTCAATGTAGGTTTGGAGGGTCCAGTGGTCCAGTCGTACCGAACCTGAGGTTCGGTGCGACTGGATCTATAGGGCCAGAAAGCTACCAGACGTTCAGCCATCGAAGTAGCTTCTTCCGGTCGTCGGCGTTCTTTGGATGGTAGCCCCAAGGGGGCTGGACCATCCTTTTGGATCGGATGCCCTGTGAAGCCCAGTTCGACCATGCTCGGCCATTCTCCGGTTTCGTTTGGTACTCCGTCCGACCATCCGGGGTCAGGAGGTAAGGTAGCACCAGTAGCTGGCCATCTATGGCCCTATGGCAAAGAACCTGAATGATACCTGATGTTTCTCTTCACTAGGTGCTCTTTGCTGAATTTGATACACCCATGAAACCAGACCGTTGCATGAATGGCACCTGAAGGAACACGGTGCTGCTTCGTTGTTCCCCACGACCTATAAGCAGGAAATGAAACCCATGGTGACTACTTGCTGCCAGATGTGCAATTACAGAGAACATGACCATTCCAGGTGTGAACAAGAGGGATCCCCATCCCACACCAAGAAAACTAGAAGCAGGACAAGTTTCTCCAGGTATTTGGGGAGATTTGCAAGAAAGACGCGGCAACAAACATAAGAGGGGTGGCCATGTTTCACATCATCCATAACGGTCACAGTGGAAGCCCTGATTTGATCAACCCATGAGTTGTTGAATCATGTTGGGTTGCGCAATTTGAGTCGCAAGGCACTGACGGCCAAACCTCGACAAGTACCAGCGGAGGTGTTTGCATGTTTGCATGTTTTCCTGAATCTCAACATGCTTCTGTGAGTGAGAGAGACGTTTCACGTCTTTTGGATCTGGAAATTCCTCCCAAGAACTGTCCCACGATGCTCGTTTCTGCCTTGACTTGCTCCCAGAGTTCGGGACAGGTGCCCAGCTCGTCACTTCTTGGCAGCAACATTTGTGTGCTTAAGAGCTGAAGACACACACCCAGTCACCGCCAGTCACCCAGCTAGCGACATATGAACTACACGCTTTCTGTTGCTTTCAAAGGTTTGGTCAAGATTGGTCAAGTACGTCATTTAATCATAAAACATCATAGAATCATATCTCTCACCTTGCCCAGCTCAGCTCAGCCTCATTGCACCCACTTCTGGACAGCTGAAACGGCTTTTCAACGAACGAAACATGTTTCAGCTTGACATGCTGAATATCGGAACCGAAACAGGCTGAACCAGCAACACATGTCGCTTCATCAAGGCGATGCCCGCGAGGCGTTCGGAAGCCTTTTGGAAGTCAAGGTCATTGGCCTGGACGGACAAGGAGATCAACAGACCCCTTTTCTTGAGAGGTCCCTAAATAGATTCTGAGTGGGTATGAGTGGGGATCTTACTGAGTGGGGATGCTGAGTGTGATGAACGGGAGTGTCTCCAAACATTCTCCAAACCCTTTCCAATACATTCTGAGGGGGGATGAATGGGATCTACTGTTCTATTTGGAGACCCACTAGACTACATAGATCCACTGCCCTCTGAGATGCGCTAACTTGTGTGTTCGAGGTGACACAAGTGGCTTGGTCGGTGCGAGGGTCCCGTTGTACCGAACCTGAGAGGCTCTGTGGATTTCTCTAGGGATCCTAGGTTCTTGGAGCGTTTCTGGCGGCGGTCAGCTCGCCCCGAAACTCGGAATCAAGGATCGAAGATGATCGAAGCAGAGGTCGAACCAGCGAAGACCCTCAGGGAACTTCGATCAAATCGAGCAGTTTCCCAGTTTGGCATTTCACCTACTCCAAAACCTTGGCAGGTTTGGACCTGTTCCGATGGTTGAGGTGCCCAACGTCAAGGGATCAATGCGAAGGAGGAACAAGATGTTTGGATGTTTGATGCCCCTGAGAATCACTTTGAACCGGAAAGGCTTCGCGATGGAGGGTTTGTCAGCCCCTGCAGTGGCCCCTGCGTTTTCGGTGGTTTGTGGGGTCTGTCCGGTCTGACGCCTGCGCGCTGTCCCAATGGTTCCAACGACCGACCGTAGGACGACCTCGAAATGCGAAACCGTGAAGAAGGACACTCCATGTATGGAATCTTCACCTATAGTACCTATTGGGGTGGTTGAAACAAGGGGTCAATGGGACGGCAGATCTATTCCATACATGGAGTGCCTACAGGCATGATTCCCTATAGGCTGAAGCCCGGATCCACATAGTGTTGGTCTATGGTCTATGGTCGACCATGTGGGTCCGATTCTTCGATGATCCAGGAGTGGATCTTCCTGCGGTGCCTGATGATCTGACCGGTCGTGAGCTCCAGCAAATGATCCAAGAGCTACTGCCCCAGAAGGCAGGTAGCAAAGTCGCCTTGCAGCATGGACCTGAGTTGCTCTCCATGAAGAAGACTCTGAAGGAGCTGCACTTGGACCTGGTAGAAGCTAGGATCATCGAAAGATGTCAAGATGATCACTGCTGGTCGAATTGGGTCACATCACTGGATTCTTTGGGATTCTTTGGACCCCTCCAGTTCCGTGTTTTTCCACGCCCCAGTCGAAGAGTCGCCCCCCCTCCCCCTCTCTAGATCGGTGATTGGGAGCCCGAAGCACCCCGCCGAAGCCCGGTGGCGGCCCCAGACCTCCCCACCGGCCGAGCCCGCCGAGACCATCTTCGCCCCGCCGACACCGCCAGGAGTCGGGACTAAGAACTGGTGATGTGACCTATGTGTACCTGCCCGTGAATTTGCAAGAGGCTTGGAAGTGGCTCCAAGCCGTGGATGACGGGGAATGGGAGAGGAGGAACGGTGCTTTAGATGGAGTAATTCAAGTGGCAGGGATCCATTCTGGAGACCAATTGACCAGACTTCCTTGCGGCCTTCGAAGTCTCACCTTTGACCAGGATTTCAACGAGAGCTTGGAAGGGGTGATTTGGCCAGGCAGTCTTCAGAATTTGACCTTCGGCCATGATTTCAACCAGAGCTTGGATGGTATGACTTGGCCAAGCAACCTCCAGAACCTCGCATTTGGCTGGAATTTCAACCAGAGTTTGAACCGAGTGACTCTGCCCAATCATCTCCAAACACTCACGTTGAACGGGGAATTCAGCCAATCTTTGAAGGACGTCAAGTGGCCCCAGAGCCTTCGAGAACTGACCTTGGGGTACAAGTTTAATCAGAGTCTGCACGGCGTGACTTGGCCCGAGCAGCTGCTCAGTCTGACGTTCGGCTGCATGTTCAACCAGAGGTTGAACAGAGTGACTTTGCCTTGCAAGCTCCAGAATCTCACTTTTGGCCGAGACTTTAATCAGAGTTTGGACTGTGTGGCTTTACCCCACACCCTGCAGAATCTCCAGTTTGGTTTGCACTTCAACCGGAGTTTAAAGGGTGTGGTTTGGCCGGAGAGCCTTCAGAACTTGAAGTTTTGCCATGATTTTAACCAGAGCTTGGATGGAACCAACTGGATCGACCGCCTCCAGAATTGGGCCTTTGGCTCTGTCAAGAGAACAAGAACGGAAAAGGCCTCCCTGCCACAGAACCTGCGGAATCTCGAGTTCGGCACGAAGTTCAACCAACGCTTGAACGGTGTCACTTGGCCGGATGGACTTCAAAAGATCACGTTTGGCGCTGATTTCGACCAGAGTTTGGAAGGTGTGCTTTGGCCACACAATTTACACAGTCTGATCTTTGGACGCAATTTTAACCAAAGTTTAGACGGCCTCACATGGCCAAAGAACCTGCAGAATCTGACTTTTGGATTTGCCTTCAACCAGAGCTTGCAGGGTATCACGTTTCCAGGCCGACTCCAGACTTTGACTTTCGGCCAGCAGTTCAACCAGAGCTTGCAGGGTGTGACTTGGCCCAACCTTGAGAATCTCAATCTGACCCTGGGCACCTTCAACGGTTTGGAAGCTTTGAGTTGGCCCGACGGCCTCCGGGCTCTAAGCTTGAGCAGCGGATTCCCGCGGAGCTTCAAAGGCATTGCTTGGCCCCAGAGTTTGCATCATTTGACCTTGAGTCATGGTTTCAATACTCCTTTGCAAGGTGTTACTTGGCCCCAAAAACTCGAGAGCCTGACGTTTGGAGTGGATTTTAATCGAAGTTTGGAAGGGGTCACTTGGCCGGACCACCTGCAGTTTCTGAGTTTTGGTGATTACTTCGACCAGAGCTTGAACGGTGTCATTTGGCCCTGCAGCTTACAGACTCTGACCTTTGGCACTTACTTCGACCAGAGTTTAGACGGCGTGATTTGGCCACAAAGCTTAAAGACTCTGACTTTTGGTGATTCCTTCAGCCAGAGTTTGGACGGTGTTATTTGGCCACAGAAGCTCCTGAGCCTGACATTTGGTTGGTGCTTCAATCAGAGGTTGGATGGAGTCAAATGGCCAGAGACTCTCGAAAATCTGTCATTTGGTAATGATTTCAATCAAAGTTTGTCAGGCGTGGCTTGGCCAGGCAGGCTCCAAAATCTGACATTTGGTGATTCATTCAACCAGGGTTTGAAAGGTGTGACTTGGCCCGACAGCATGCAGACTTTAACCTTTGGTTTGCACTTCAATGAGAAGAGTTTGGAAGATGCAACCCTCCCCAGCAGACTGAAATCCTTGAGATGCTGTAATGTATTATTGAGTGTATACATTGATTCGCACCGAGAGTAAAGCATTGGCGCGTGCGGCACGTGTCAGCACTGGGAGATCTAAATTGCCCATGCATAGCGATCACAGAAAGAAGAGTCACACGGAGTTTTGCATGTCGATCCGAATTCGATGGGTCATTCGCCATTCGCACTGAATCACCACTGGGTGCGGTTCGGGACACAGACCAGCGTCGGGAAACAGACCTGGCGCCAGGCTCCATTGCTTCGTGATTTTTTCGGCACAAGACCGGCACAAGCCGCCGGTCTTCTTTGGTCGTCCGACCCTCCGGTTTGGGTGGGAAGAGGAGCAGCTCGAGGAGCCAATTTCTTCCATCTGTCTTCCCATCGACGTGGCATCAAAATTGGTCCCCCAAGAAGAAGAACGCAGAACTGAGGAAAACACAAAGCTCTCAGCTTCTTCATCGTTCTTTTCTTCTTTGATGTGCTTCTCTCTCTTCAAGTCTGTCATCCTCACAAGACCAAGCCATCTCCGTTCCGACCGCGCCAAATGGACGCCGCGTCTTCGTCTTCGTCCGGCCGGATCGTGGAGGTCAAGGCCGTTGGTTTGGATGGTCAAGGACAGCCATCGCCGGTGGCCGGGTAGTGAAGGAATCAGTTCAACAGTTCGTCGTGGTTTTGGGGGGGGAAGGAACCTTTGAAACACGGATAAACACCACACAGCCGTGTGTGCAAAGCACCTGTTTTGGTAGGAAAAACATGTGCTTTTAGTTAGGTTTCAAAAGTTTTGAAAAAGGTCAGTTTCAAGGGAGAAAGCATTCCTTTCCAAAGCGCGTGTGCGGATGATTTTTGAAAGTGTGTGTGTGTGTGCGTATGGTATCATCATCTTCCAAGCACATCCAACCGAACGTATTTGTCCCCCCAACCCCACCTTGCCCACCCCCTATCTTCCAAAAGTGTTTGTGCATGTGGCATCATCTTCCAAGCATATCACGAAAGGTAGCCCTTAAGGGGATACCAAGAGTTTGTCTTGCGAAGCAAGTGTTGGCGCGTTCGGGTCTTTAATAATTGATCATTCAATTCAACCCCCCCCCCCCCCCCCGGCAAATTGTTTTTTAAATCCCACCCCCCCCCCCTCTCTAAATTCAATTCTCTCCTGGAGAACGTTTTCGTGAGCCTCTCATGATTTCAGGATAGTTGAAACCCTCTTGAACATTGAGAAAGAGTGCGTATGATATTCTAATCACGAAAGGTGTTCCCTGAGGGGATACATACCTAGAGTTTGTTTTGTGAAGCACGTCAATTCTCTCCTGGAGAACGTCTTCGTGAGCCTCTTATGGTTTCAGGATAGTTCAAATCCTATGATGCTCCGATTCAATGCTCACTGATGCTCTGAGCCATGGGGCAAGTTTGTTTTCCTAAGAATCTTTTTGAACATTTCGTTCGCATATGTTTGAACATTTAGAGTGCATATGAAATTATATTTACGAAAGGTCGCCTCCGAGGGGATAAATCACCATGTTGAACATTGCATTTTTGTTCCTGCCTCTCGCGTTCTCTTCTCTTCCCGCGGTCCTACCTTTCGTGTCTCCCTCCTCTCAAGTCCAACGCACTACCACCGACGAGTAAAAAGAATCCAACATGCTAGGGAATTCCAAACAGAACCGTGAACAAGTAGGAAGAAGAAAGAGGTTGCCCGCATTCAACATAACAAAACGCGGCCGGTTAAAGTGACATGTATAATTAAAGGCTAAGTTCTTCAGTGCCGTGGTTTCATTAAAAGCACCACAGAGCGCACGACGAACTAGCAATGTTGTCAACGCCGGCATTGAAATTCCTTTGCCCCCTAGTGGCCCTGTGGAAACCGAGCGTTCACTCGCGGTAGCGGCTACGGGGTCGGTGACACCGAGCTTTCTTGGTTTTCGCTACGGCGTAAGACCCGGTGTTGTTTGCTTGTATGAACTGGGTGACAAAAGCTGAACCAACCCTGGTACCAAGCTTGTTAATGGAAATCAAGCTTGTTTTGGACCAAAGCAGCTATTTCCAATGTTTAAGCTGTGTTTGTGGTTCAATCCATGTAATACATGTAATACATGATGTAGCCTAATTCCTTGGAAGTCCAAATGATCCCTAATGGGACACCCCTCCATTGGCTGAAAGTGTTTATGAGACGATCAGAACACTAGGGATCACCTGAGTGACCTCTAATTTTGGACCACCAACCACCCCAAATATGGTCAGTTCCTATCAAAGCAGGAGTCAATTGGGTTCGAGGTATTCATTGAACCATCCCAGGCTGTACCCAGAAGTCAGAGCTTCAATCCCTGGGGTTAAGCACACCAACAAACGCCTCAAACATCGCATCCAGGGTGGCCCATTTTTTGAGTGAATGTATTTAGTGTCCATGCCATTCTCATGTTTCACAAAAAATCCGAGTTGGCCCTAGCTCGCTTGGCTGCCAGGAATAGACCTGCAAGTGTCCGATTGCGTCACCGGCAGAGAGCTTTGCCAGATGATCTATGCCCGGCTCACGTCAAAAGCAGGTGCCCCTGCAGTGGTGCTGCAGCATGGAGATGAAGTGCTCTCCTTGGAGAAAACTCTGAAGTGAAGGAGCAACCTTTCGGCGCGATTCTGCACAATGTTTGTTTTTTGGGGGCAACGCTTTCTTGCATGCTATCTAGGTTGTATTTTGTTGTCAATGTATATGGACTATGGACATTGTTTTTCATTTATCATGTTTAGTAGTGTTTAATTATATATATAATATATAACCTGTTATGTCTGCCCCGAAGGACTCCGGACTCGAACAAACTGCCCACGTGACGTATGTGTACATCCGTGCCAGCTTGCATGAGGCCTGGAAGGCGCTTCAAGGCTTGCCAGTTGCCGATGAAGAAAGTGCGTTGGCAGGAGTGAGACAGCTGAAAGGAATCAGCACTTTGACTCAGCTGCGAAGAATTCATGAAACCCTTGAACACTTGACTTTTGGCTGGGCGTTCCAAGAACGACTACAAGGAGTGACGCTTCCAAGTTGCCTCCAGAGTTTAAGATTTGGTGGCTGTTTTAATCAGAGTTTGGAGGGAGTGACTTTGCCCATCAGCCTCCAAACTCTGACGTTTGGATACTACTTCAACCATGATTTGATGAACGTAAAATGGCCCGGCAGTCTGCAAAGTCTGGAGTTTGGTTGCAACTTCAATCAGAGTTTGGATCTTGTGAATTGGCCAGAGAGCCTTCAGAAATTGACCTTTGGTTACCAATTCAATCAGATGTTAACACATGTGACTTGGCCCAGCAGCCTTCAGACTTTGAATTTTTGGCGAGAAATTCAATCAGACTTTAGCTGGTGTGACTTGGCCAGACAGCATAGAAACGATGACGTTTGGCATTGATTTCGACTGGAGCTTGAAAGGTGTCATTTGGCCTTTGAACCTCCGGTTTTTGAAGTTTGGCAACTGCTTTCGACAGAGTTTGGAAGATGTTGCATGGCCATCACAGCTCACCAATCTACAGTTTGGCTTCAGATTTAACCCATCTTTCCAAGCTCTCCTTTGGCCCGACAGCCTCCAGAATCTGACCCTTTGCATGAGTTCCAACCTGAATGTGAAAGAATTGATATGGCCCCAGATGCTGAGCAGCCTCACGTTTGGCGATCGCTTCAATCAAAGCTTGAATAGTGTGGCTTGGCCCCGCAACCTCCAATGTTTGGTCTTTGGCGCACGCTTCAACCACAGCTTGGAAGGTGTCACTTTGCCCACTGGTCTCAAGAGTTTCGGGCACCATTTCAACCAAAGTGTGGAAGGTGTGGTTTGGCCCCCAAGTTTACACACTCTGATTTTTGGATGTCACTTCAACCAGCAGTTGCAAGCTGTGACTTTGCCGGACGGCCTACAGAATTTGACATTCGGAGACGATTTCAACCAGAGCTTGAAAGGTGTAATATTGCCCAACGCTGTCCGGAATCTGACTTTTGGTTTTAGGTTTAACCAGAGCTTTGACGGTGTGGTTTGGCCGGACTGCCTTTGGCATTTGAAGCTTGGTAGAAGCTTTGACCAGACTTTGGAGGGTTTTACTTGGCCTAACAAGCTGAAGCATCTCGAGTTTGGCGAGCAATTCAACCAAAGCTTGAAGGGTGTGATTTGGCCCGACAGTCTGCAGAGTCTGAGGTTTGGTGGTCGCTTTAGCCAGAGTTTGAAAGGAGTTACTTGGCCCAACAGCCTTGAACACTTTACATGTGGCAACAACTTCAATCAAAGTCTGCGCGAGGTGACTTGGCCGGTTGGCCTCCAGAGTTTGACGCTTGGCATGAATTTCAACCAGCGTTTGGAGGGTGTCCCTTGGCCTGACGGACTTCAGAATCTCACCGTCTTGAACACTCGTTGCAAAGACTATTTGGAAGGTGTCACTTGGCCAGACAGTCTCACAAGCCTACGTTGCCCATGCCCGCGGATGCGTTCCTCGCCAAGATTCCACCGTGACTGTTATCTTTTCTTGAGCCTGTGAATGATTGGTTCATACGCCGGTGGAAAAGATAAAAGATTGCGCTGGCAGTTTATGGAAAAAGATTAAAAAAGTAAGGTATAGAAATCCAAACGACAGATGATACATTGTTAAATTCAATCTTTAGCTTCCTATGTCGAGGGGAGATGGCAGGGCTCAACTGATTCATTCTATTCCTCAGAAGCCAATGTGCGGTGTGGATGAATGATGATGAATGCGGTACTGGGAGCACTCGGTTTGGCACTTGGTTTGGCTATGTCGATCACAGGAACAAGCTGGATCCGAACAGACATCCCGAGCTGACCAGGACCAGAGACCAGCCCAGCCTTGAAGGCCCGGTCACGGTCGGTCATTCGAAGGGTTGCTGGCCATCGGTGTTCAAGGGGGTGCTTTCAATGAATCATTAAAATCATCATTGTTACGATTAAGATTAATCAAATGAATCATTGGGGGTGCTTCCTCGTATTTTCACTTAAAATCGTCACAATATCTCATCGATCCACATATCGCGAAGGCAGGGCGAACCGTTCGTCGAACCCAAACCGACTCATGCGCCATGTGCGAGTGGATCATCTCTGGTGCCATGTGCGACTTCTTTGTGTGCTCATCTCCATCACCGCTGATCGAAGGCGAGGCGACCGGACCGCCGAAGGTGAAGGTGGGAACGGCCGAACCGAGGGACACAACCCCTGGAAGAGCCAGCAAACCCCCCCCCCCAGAGGTCGTCATGTTGGGATCGGGGTGTGCAGACCAACTCGGACCAACTCGGTGGCATCTGAACTGGTCGACATACCGTCGGATGTGTTTGGTTCGCGTGGCCGTCGTGCCGGTGTTCACCGCCACCGGAACCGGACGACGGTTTGGAACCGGGGCGGTTGAATCGTCTCGTCGAAACCGGGGCGGACCGGGCGAGGTGGACTCCAAGACTCCGCCTTTCTGGACCACTTTTGACCTGGAAACATGGGACACAGAAGGCATCAGAAAGCAAGGACCATCATATACGTATACTAACTTAAGGGCACGGTATTTTTGGTTGGAGGGGCCACACAGACGACGACTATTGTAAGTAGATATCCGACATGTGTTCTACAGCAAAAAGACATCCTGCCTGTGACAGCTTCTTCTCGCCTGGCTCGTGCCATGTCGGAGAGCTACAGGGAAGCTTCTGCAAGCCTTTTGCAGGTCAAGGTCGTTGGCCTAGATGGTGCAGGATTTCAGGGTCAAAGTCATGATTTTGTCCATTGCTCATCACAGCTACACCACTTTCTTTGGATGGATTTATCACGATTTATCTAAGGTATGGGTGCTCCAGTCCCGTAAAAATCCTGGAGCCTTTTCAAACCTAACCCACAGTGTGTTACTTTACGCCCCTGCAACGATCCCTCCCTGAGTCATTTGACATCCATGGAGGTCGGGGGTTCGCTTGTGAAGAGCGATTTGGATCGCTTGTGCCTCGTTCTATTGCCGCTGGTGCGACAAATCCTCTTTCCCCCCAGCGGCTGTTTGTACAACTTGTTTGTGCCTGAAAAGAAATCTCTAGACTTGCTTCTCCACCATCCCGCCCAAGATAGTGTGCCCAAGATAGTCTCGAAAGTCTTTGCAGTTCAATTTGTTGTAGAAAGCGACTCCCTACCCCACTTCAAGACCGGAATGTGACATGTTAACCGAATGCTGTAGTGACAGCACCCCCCACCACCGCACCTCACTTCAAAAATGGAATGTTTCATATGTTAGTCAATGTCAACACCGGACTAATCAACCCGGGCCCCCCCCATTCAAGGTCAACAAGGTCTGAGATTGGAGGTATTGGAGGACCACATCCCCTTAATAAAGATGATGACCTGATGATGGATGATGGTTGATGGGATTCTGAGACAATGGTGGATCAGAAGACTTATCAGTTTCACCATGGACCAGAAGATATAGGAGATTAGCTTTAAAAAAAGTAATGTAAACAATACTATATTTTTTTTGTTCTGGGGTGGCAGCTGGGATTGATTAATAGGGGGGAGGTTTCTGCCCAGGAATAGTGTGATGCCAAGGTGGATATCTAGGTTTTTAATTGGGGGTCGAGCTGGGATTGATTAATAGGGGGTGGTTACTTAATCCTTTGTGCGCAGTACTGTAATCGAAGTGAAGGTCATGACAGCCCCACCCCACCGATCCACTTCAAGACTGGAAGAATGATTGGATTTACGTTGCTCGAAGTGCACGTCAGTACCCCTTTTCATTTTTTTGCAGCTCGCGTTCCTTAAGAGACCCGGTTCTCCCGCCATGGAACCCCGGGGTTCAACTCCCGCAGTGAGAGCCGGAGACCGAGTGTTTGGTTGATCAGGCCTAAACCGCCCATTGGCGGTTTGACCTCGTTCTATAGAAGAATGGTGTCAAAGAACCCAACACAAAAAACTTAAGAACAACATGTTCTTTGTAAAGAAACGACGCGGCTTACGGCGTGCTTTGCCCCCCATACTAAGTTAGTCATAAAACATGTCATCACATATCATCACTCTTAAAGAGCAACACCGATCCTTCGATTTCCTCGTTGGCTCCAGGACTGGAGGTCGCCGTGCCAGAAGACCTTACCGGCAGTGAGCTGCAAGAGATCATCCGTGCTCGAGTCGCCTCCAAAGCGGGTGCCCGAGTCGTTCTGCAGCATGGATCTGAACTGCTCTCCTTGAAGAAGCCCCTGAAGGAGCCCTCTTCCTCGCGATGTCGCGTCGCATGGGTATTCGCTTGAGTCGTTGAAGTCGCGATTGTTCCCTGATCTGAACCAATGTTAGTCTCATGCTCCGTGCTCCAATGTTAGTCTCATGCTCCTCTTCCTCACTCACTCTGACCGCTTCTACGGTTGGCGCAGCCTGGCGAACCATTCCTTGCCATGACCACGTCGACAGGAACTGCGCAACCGTGTGTCAAAAAGAGATGCAATTGAGGCCAGATGAAATGCCAGTATATACAGATCATGCCTGCTCAGATGTCAGGCAGTATGTCAGGATGGATTGTCAGTCGGTGCATGTGTCCTTCCTTCTTCCAGATCACTTCACAGGGGTCATGCGTAGAATGGTCTTTGTCGAAGGATATTTGAGGTTGTTTTGTTCACCTGCCATGGGAGATAGAATGGCATAATGGCATAATGGATTGGATTGCTTAGTTCTGTACAGGTTTCGGTTGGTTTCGGAATGTCAGTGTTGGCACGAAAAAAACACTAAAAACACTAAACATGTTGTTTGTTCTGTCCTCCGCTGTGATGGGCTCATCCAGTGGTGTACAGAACATTTTTCGGGGTGTACCCAGACGCTCCATGTATGCCATGTTTGCCTACCTTATTGGGTGGATTTGGGGGGTCCATGTCTATTCCAATCCCATGGAGTGGGTTATAGAAACAGATGGCCTATTGATGCCAGAAGTTGTTGAATTGAGCTCCTTTCACACACAGTCGACCCCTCCAGGAATCCTTTGGAGATGACAGAGCACATCCTCAAGTGACCTATCTTTACTTGCCAGGTGGCTTGCAAGAGGCTTGGAGATTCCTGAAAGGCCTGCCAGTCGATCATCCACCGGGTGCTTTAGAAGGAGTGACTCAACTCGAATGGATTCACGACGTGAATCAGCTAAGGCACCTTCCAGAGAGCCTTCGGAGTCTCACACTTGGTGATGGATTCGGGCACAGCTTGAACGGGGTGACGTGGCCCCATAGTCTTGAGAAATTAAAGTTTGGAATGCAATTCAACCAGAGCTTGGAAGATGTGACTTGGCCCAACAGCATCCAGAGTTTGGTCTTTGGCCAACAGTTCAATCAGAGTTTGAAAGGTGTCACTTTCCCCAGCAGCCTTGAGAATCTGACTTTTGGTGAACGTTTTGACCAGAGTTTCGAAGGCGTTACACTACCGGACGGCCTGCAGCATCTGACGTTTGGTCGCAGATTCAAGGGATTGAATGGTGTGAGTTGGCCGAGTAACCTTCAGAGCCTGACATTGGGCGATCTATTCAATCAGAGTTTGGACTGTGTGATTTGGCCAGACAGTCTCCAGAGTTTGACATTTGGTTTTCACTTCAATCAGAGTTTGGAAGGTATGACTTGGCCACGCAGTCTTCGAACCTTGACATTTGGCAGTTGCTTCAATCAGAGGTTGCAAGGAGCGAGTTTACCCAACAGCCTGCAGCATATTCTCTTGGGCGACAAATTCAACCAGGGTTTGGAAGGGTTGATTTGGCCCAAGAACCTGCAAAATCTGACATTTGGTTCCAAGTTCAACAGAAGCTTGAACACTGTCGAGTGGCCCCACACCCTCTGCAAGCTGACCTTTGGCAGTAGCTTCAACAAGAGCTTGGCTGATGTGAATTGGCCAGACAGTCTCCAAGATTTGACATTTGGTTTTTGCTTCAACCAGAGTTTGCAAGGTGTCATTCTACCCAATGGCCTTGAGAAGTTGAGCTTTGGTGATAGGTTTGACCAATTGCAAAGTGTGACTTGGCCTGCCAGCCTCCGCACTTTGAGAATCGGCGGTGATTTGCATCAAGTAACCCAGCCTGCTGCACGGGACAATCAATTTCAGGAGAGCTTGAGAGCTGTGACTTGGCCAAGCAACCTCCAGACGTTGAATTTTGGTGAGCAATTCAATCAGAGTTTAGCTGGTGTGACTTGGCCGGACAGCCTCCAGAATTTGAATTTTGGTGAGCAATTCAATCAGAGCTTGGCTGGTGTGATTTGGCCAGGCAGCCTCCAGACTTTGACTTTTGGTGACAAATTCAATCAGAGTTTGGCTGGTGTGATTTGGCCAGGCAGCCTCCAGACTTTGATTTTTGGTCAGCAATTCGATCAGAGTTTGGCTGGTGTGGTTTGGCCGGGCAGCCTCCACACTTTGACATTTGGCATGCGATTCAATCAGAGTTTGGCTGGTGTGGTCTGGCCAGGCAGCCTGCAGAATCTGGCCTTTGCGGCTTGTTTCAATCAGAGTTTGGAAAGTGTGACATGGCCATCCCATCTCCGCAGCCTTACTTTTGGCACGTGGTTCAACCAGAGGCTGCAGGGTGTGGATTGGCCCTGCAGCCTCCAGACTCTCTCTTTTGGCGAGAATTTCAACCAAAGTTTGGAAGGTGTGATTTTGCCAGACAGTCTTGAGACTTTGGTCTTTGGCCTACAATTCAATCAGAGTTTGGAAGGTGTAACTTGGCCTGAGAGCCTTGAGAATTTGACCTTCGGCTATTTCTTCCAGCAGCGGCTGGATTGTGTGTCTTGGCCCAGCAAGCTCCAGAATCTACAATTTGCCAGAGTCCACGCAGGCGCGCCTTTTCCCCAGAGCCTCAAAAGCTTGCGCGTCGGACGTTTGAAGTTGAGTTTGCTTTGAAGCCGTCGAAAAAGCTGCGCAAAAACATGAGCTGCTTTGGCTTTCAGTGCTGTGGAAATCGTTGGAGCTTTTTGGGACGACTCACTTAACGCACAGCAACATGACGAGTTCATGCCACTAGAGGGGCTAGACATGGAAGTGTGCCCAACAACATCCAACGAGCCCAGCGATTCGAAGTGAGGTGAGGTGATGAGGTTCAACTTGGCCTGCAAGAGCTTGATTTGTTTTTGGAAGGTTGAGACTGCTTACATCCGGCATCCCAATTCGATTTCAGTTTCATGGTCTCATGTGGACGTTCTTCTCATGGGAAAACACCTTGGTTGCAAGTTGCAAGTATAGAGCTGTCGTTTTTACAGATGCACTTTCAAGGACCAAAGTAAGCAAATGTCAGAGATAAACTAACTTTTGTCTATTTCATCCGCTCTCATGTTCCATACGCGAGGTCGCCGTCGTTTGCGCTGGCCTTTATTACTGGCACAAGGCAGGCAACTTTGCCAGCTGACAGTTGCAGACAACAACCAGTTGGGTAGGTCTTTGGTGTAGCCCAGAATTGACGCAGTTGGGGCGGTGCTGAAGGAAGAAAGCGGTTTATCCCGAAGAAGATCGATAAATCATGAGAACGATACTTCCTTTAGTTAAGCGCTTCCCCGACACTCCATGTATGGAATATATGCCTACATTGACACCCCCAAACCACCCCAATGTATAGGTAAAAATGCAATCATATACATTAAAAAGGTTTGGGCATGTGTCCTTCTACCATCTCGGAATCAGACCTGTCACCTGCATATTTCTCACGTATATACCATTTGACGTGTGGAGACCGTCGCGAGGATAGAGCATTGAGCGTCCAATTCGAGAGTAGGCCGCCCAGTGTGCAAAAAAGCACAGTTCTATAAGGTTGCAAATTCAGAAAGGCCTCAAACCACAACTCATAATGTTAATTTGGACTTAGGTGTTACTAGTACCTGTGTTAAGTCGTTTGGTCTTGTAGAAAGTCGTCTGAATGCTGCGTTTACAATGGGGTTTACAATGTATCAATCTAGCCAGACCGCTGACTGTTGGAACCGCCGACTCATTCAAATCCATTTGAGCCGGGTCAGAGCAAGTAGAAAAGATTCGTGTAGTCTCAGCATGCTGCATCTATGTTTGTAGGCTAATCTTGCGTTCTGATTGGGGTTCGGACACCAAAACGCTGCAAACTTCGACATAAAACTAGTTCTTTCCTGCACAGGGGCAGTGAATTCTTGATGTATAGCAGTTTTGACAAACATATTCAATAGAGCACTTATATTGTGTTTTAACATAAAACGGGTGACTTTTCGCGAGCCGGGTGACTTTTGACTAATGCTGCGTTTACATGCGGCCGGGTGACTTTCTGCAAACCCGGGTGACTAAACCCCAGCGCTTGTAAACTAATACCCACAACCATTTTGGTGCGACCCCTTTTGGGGGGCATCCGCCTGAACAAAAAAGACTCAAACAAAAACGGTCCAGTTCCTTTGATATGTTATAGTTTCTTGAGTCCCATCTTGGATCGATTAATTGATCATCCCACCATTAGGGGTTTGAGGATGATTTGCACGCAGATACCAGGCCAATCAGGTAGACCTCAGGCTGCTCCCACCTCCCATTTTCACAGGACGTCCCGGCGCAGCTGAGCGCTCCGGTCCCGATCCGGTCCTGACCTCGGATGCCTTCGGTGCTCAAAAGTGAGAGCGGTTCCGCGGCGGTTGGGAGGGCGGATGGAGGTTACAAAAGAGCGTTTAGAGCACACAAGGTTACACTTATAAAAAGAGGTGAGCTAAATGCAGTGAAGTCTCTGAGTTGGTTTTTGATAAGTATCCTAAAATGAAGCGTGCACGCAGTATCAAGATATAATCACTTGCTGGCCGCCAAAACAACCGACTCCTCCTTGGATATGGTTCTATGCCTTAGTATCACCCATAGATTCTGCCGTAGATCATTTGAGTTTTATGAAATTTATGAACTATTTATGAACTATTACTCCTCTATCCATCTGGTAATGAACTAACTATAGTTAATATTCACTACTATTCATAGAACTAAACTGTTCCTCATTTGAGTTACTATTACTCCACTGTCTCAGATGTTCGGGCTCGAGATCCGGTCTCCGGTCGATGTGGAGTGGCAGAACGGCAGAACGCAGAAACACGGCTCCGTGGTTTCCGCGTAGCGGATCACAGCGCGACGCGTAGCGGATCACAGTGCTTTGCTGCAAAGTGTTTTCAGGAGATCATGTTTCAGTTGCAGCCAAGACCGCAGCACGAGCCATCCACGAGCCATCCACAGACAAAAGATCCGGACACCGCCTACCGCCGCTCCTTCTCCGGGATCGCCATGTCTCAGCACCTCGGCCGTTTGGGGCGCCGGGGTGGGGCCCTTGGGGGAGGGCTGAGCGACGAAGTGGAAGGCCCAGCGGTGCACCGGACCTCGGAAAGGCAGAGATCTTTCCCAGACACGACACGTCTGGGACTGCCAGGACGGACTTCCGATCAGTTGGGGTGGTGTTTTGGGGGGTCAATTGATCAGTCCGACATGGCAGTCCCAGACGTGTCGTGATGTGTAGATCTCAAGTTCTTCATGTGGCCCAAAAGAGAGAGAGCAACCTGGTCTCAGAACGCCCCAAGTGCATCGGTTTCGACGTCCGGACCCAAGGGGGCGACCCAATTGAGTCGGGGCCGACCGTGAGGACAAGGAGGAGGACCGGACAAGGACAAGGAGGATAAGGAGAAACCATTCATTCTGGTGCTTGTTTGTTTCATGTTGTTTTTTTTTTGGGGGGGGGACGCTGCCAGGTGGGGCAAGACTCGAGTTCTTTTCGGCTCTGCAGCTTGTTGATGTATGTCGCAAACAGATTACCTGAACTTCTAGCTTTTGGCCCAACGAACGGCACCGCAGCCCCCTTCCGTCACACCGACCTCGCAATCTTCGAGAACCAGGGTCTTCTTTTGTCCCTTCTCGACCTGAAATGACTTCCAGGAAGGTGAAGTACAATGGCACCATCTTCGAGCGGCGGCATTTAGCCGCGGCCCAGATGGCCAAGGAGACGTTGACGGACGCGCGGAGGCTCCGTGGTCCCAGTAGACCTGAGCTTTGCCCATCCCGTTGTTCGACACGGGGAGTTGCTAGACCAAGTTAGATGTTTTTTTGTTTTGCCAGTTTGGGTATGCTGTCATTTAGTGCGGTTGAAAGGTGTTAGAACTGAATGGTTTGGCCATGGAAAATGGATGCCTTCTATACGGCTTAGCAGGTATGACATCACCTTTTATAGCCGTCAGCTTGCGGCTTGGCCTCTGACCTCCTAACGGATTGATTTGATTGGTTGAATTGTCACACAAATCTTATTTTATACCCCATGAGAGTGATGTGATGTGACGCGATAAACATGAGTGATGGACAAAAATAACCTTTTGCTAGTGAACATGATGCTTCCAGCTAGTAAACACTAGTAAACATGATGCTTCCAGCTAGTAAACATTTGCATGCTTCCAGATCTTCATTTCTCATTTGATCCGCAGCTTGCTTCTCAAACCTGGCAGGACATGCTCTCCCTCGGCGATCCTCTCATGCGCAGGTGCGCTCCGTTTTTTTCGCGACGTGGCGAGGCCCCGGAGACGTGGCGAGGCCCACGAGACGTGGCGAGGCCCTGGAGACGGAGCCCAAGCAGGAGCTGGACCAGCTTGCTTCATAAGCAGATGTTGTTTTTGTCCTGCAGCCACTGGCTCCAGACGATGTTGCTTTACTGGGTGACACACACCATTTCTGGATGTTGATTGGATTGGTTGTTTGGTTGAAGCAGACCATCATTCATTCTCGTTGTTAGTTCATGTTGGTTCAACATGTTTCAACCCTTGGTGTTGCTGGTTTGAGTGCTTTGCATGTGTGGCATTGGTGCAACCCTTGGTGGCTCTTTAAAGATCTTTAAAGAACAAAGCCCCAGGGTCTCACGCAGGACATGCAGCACATCGTGCTCTTCCCGTCGCCTTCCGGTCCTAGTGGATTGTTCATCAGGTCCTCACCTAGAGGTCTCTGCGATAAGTACCGGCATCGACGACCTACTTTGGAGTGGTTGGTTTCAGGCGTCAACTGATCGGCATATCTATTCATAATGGGTTCAGAGTTCAGACATGTTTAGACCTTGTTATATCTTAGTGTTATTCTTTCTGTCTTTATTTTGTTATTTCTTTCTTTAGACCTGTTGTTTCTTTTCTGTCGTTTTTGTTTATTATTTGTTTAAGACTTGTTCTTTCTTTCTACCTTATAGATCGTTTCGATCTTTTCATTGGAGAGGTTGGTTTCACATGGAGTGTTTAGGTCACATGTGTCCACCCTGTTTGGACTGGAAAATAAAGACAAATCACCTGGGTGGCAACCCAGAGGCAAGAGTTCGGCGTTGGCCGAACTAGACTTGGCCATACTTGGGCCTATTGTTCCTGTGCCGTGCAGCAAGAATGGCCATGCCGGTTGTCACAGTTAATTATGTTAGAGACCTACTAGCTACCACTTCTGGTGGTATATGGTTGGATTGTCGACCCTATTGCAAGACTATCCCCATCTATTGCCTAGATAGGAAATGAAGCTTGCAGAAATCAAGCCGTCACGAGCGCCAACAGGTTGGCGACGGGAGCCTTGAGTCATCTTGGCCAAGGTGAAGCCCTGAGACATTGCCAGGACCGAATCCGTCGAGTCGTTGCCAGGACGGTTTGTGTGGATTGCGGTGGAAAGGGGTGTTGTTTCTTTGTTGCTTGCTTTTGTTTGCTTTTCATTAGCTTGCAAGTGTATGCCACTGGACCAGAAGTCATTTTTGGCCGGCCTATTCTTGTCGTTTTTGGATGGTGCTGTAGTTTGTAGATGACCATCCAGACAGGGAGGAATTGCTTGACTTTCGATTGTTGTTGTTTGCCCCAAGTCATGCGGTTCGCTCCTCCCAAGCAAACGTTCTCGATAGGTTGGAGGTCATCGCTCTTAGGAGAGGGAGCGGGCTTAAACCAAAAATATAGATATTAATAATACTGCTAGGAAGTGCATGTGTCCCTTTTCCGAATCATCCCACCGGTGGCAACCGATTGAGTCCAAAAACGGTCGAGACGGTCTTCCATTCAAAAAGCTTCAGAGGGATGTTCATTTGCTGCTCAAGCATTTTGTCATAGCGAAGTTACCAACCATTGGATGTTCATTTCTACCATTGGATGTAGCTTTTGAGCAGCGAAAAACCTATGCCATTCTCTTGAGTAGTGTTGTCTCTCCCAAATTCCACTTTGATGCTGCGAACTGTTCCACACCTTGGTGGACCACGTAGCTCAGCACCCTCCAACAGGTTGGACCCTTTATTTCAGGTCTCAATTGGTCTCAATTCTACGTGGTCAGCTGATCCCGGTCCGCTGGTCCCCGGTCACCGGTTCGGCGCGAGCAAAGCGGCACGGATGCACTAGGACTTTGTTTCGGCTCTAAAGGCAGGTGTCGGGGGAAGCGGCACGTGTGGATGGGGCGGTGGGGTGGATGGTGGGAACGGAGAGATCTGCGAGTCACAGGAGTCACAGAGCTCGGGTTGCCGAACTTGGAGGATAGGAGTGCAGAATATTCACTCGCTGGATGGGACTAAAAACCACCCCTTTGTGCCCAGTATCCTTATACACACCGTTTGTGACTCCTTTGTAGACTCTTGATTGACCCCCCCCATATGAAGAGGTGACTTTGCTTGCCCACCCTGACGATAATTAGATGCTTTTACAATCTTGGAACCTGCATTCCAAAATTAGTCGTGCAATTGTGAAGCTCTTGGACATATACACTTTGCCTTGGTCTGTGCACTTTCGGTTTCACTTTTCTAGGAGTCCTTAGCGATCACTTCACAGGTCATTTATCACCAAGACCCACCCGCACCCACTCCAATACGGGGGAAACCAGCCGGGACGGGGACGGCTGGGCGGTGGTCTCTCGAGCTCTTCGCCTGCCGAGCTGAAGCAGACGGACGCATTTGAGCGCTATAGGCGACATGAATCGAGGAGGAAAGCTCTATGAGGGAGGTGTTTTGGGGAGGGAACCGGGAAGCCCTTGGTTTTGGAGGGCTTGAGACATGAAGGATTGGACCCCCCCAAACTGGGTCGGCCCCTCGACACGCCAGTTTCAGCCGGAGGGTCTTGAGGGCCGAGGGTCTTGAGGGTCTTGAAGAGATGGTTGTTCGTTTGGTTTAGGAATCGGCACCCTGTTTAGAGTCTTCAAAAGCTTCTATTAGCTTGGTTGAGTGGGGTGGCGGGTGGTATCATGTTTGATATCTACCCAGAGAAGCAGATACTCTCGCCCTTTGCACACCCTTGGGTGGAGGAACCTCGTCGCTATTCTCTGACTTTTTTCCTCCAGAGTCGATATGCTCGGTCGCCGACTCGCTGTGCCATACACGGGCAGGATCAAGATCGAGGAGTGCGATATTGCGTCACCTGGCAGCGTAAGATGTGGGAGATAAGATCTTCATCGATGTGTCGTAAAGAAAGAGGCCAACCTTGTGTTGCGACTTCTTTCCTCTCGTTTGTTCAGGTCAAAGACATCATTGCCGATGTTTTCCTCTCCAATGACATGACCAAGTCATGACCAATCAAATCATGCCCAACTGCGATGAAGCTGGCTCTTTGTCATAGGAGGATCTTTGGTCCCAAGTTTTGGGTGGGCGGCTAGGTCTCACCGCCGTGCGGATAGAGGGAAATGACCCGCACGCTTTTAGGACGACGCAAGTGACGCGTTTTTCCCGAACCACCCCGCGGGCGTTCGAAGGCAGTGCGACGAGACAAAGAACGGGTGGAGGGTGCGGACCGAGGCCGATGGCCGAAGAACAGAAGCGTATGGACATATGATGAATTAAACATATAAGCAGGAGTTCTGAGGCAAGAACGGGCCAAAAGACCATGGCCCCTCAGTCATATATTGTCGACGATAAATATATGGTCCCATATGGATCCATATGGTCAATTACATCCTGGTAGGTCACCAGGGTTGGTTTGGAGGCCGGGGGGTTTGGGGGTCGGACGGGGTTGGAGGTCTGAACATGTTGGTTCCGACGGAGTTCAGCGATCCCAATGCTCAGGCGGTGGTCTACTTGGCCTTCGCCCGAAGCTTCTCAGGTGAGCGGGAAATCGAGTTCAGCCGCTGGACGTTTGATGGGAGCTTTGAAGGTTGCGTGGCCTTGATAAGTCTCGAGAAACCGAGGATGCCAACGTCCTGGTGATTCATGAAGTCTAAATATAAGAGTTCATCAAACTACCAACCAACCAATGGCTTTCATGTTGGGCTGCAGACTGCTATCGACTTGCATTTCAGATGTTGATTGCATGAGTCAAGGCACTGTTTTGGGCTTTTGCATCGCAGTCAGACGGTGCAACCAACCGGGTGAACCATATCCAACCTGCTGTGGTTTCTCCTTGCTATTTCTTCTTGAAATCCCTCCCTACAAGTCCACAGACCCAGTAAAACCTGGTCCTTTACCTCATTGAGTTGTGTTTTGTTTGTATCAACTCCAGTAAATGATGTCTTTTACCTGGAGGGCTTATGTGTGTATTTAGCAACATAACATGTACATGTTTCAACCTGTGTGTTTCATGGCCACGAGCAACGTGGACTTCTTCCCCCGAACGAATCAAGCCAATGACGACCACATGACGACGCTTCAGTGATTTGCTTTGCCTTCATGTGGTAGCTCATTTTCCCATTTCAAAGATGCAGTCGCAGTGGCACTTTGCATAGGATCCCCACAAAGGCCGGCACCAGGCTCTCCGGGGCGGAGTCCCGCAGCCATGGAGGACGCCAGTGGTCTGTCGCCGCTCGTGAAGCTTCAGATGATCGGTTCCTTGGTCCGGAGTTCACTGTGTCGGACGTGTAGGACTATCGATGTGGGACAACAAGGGGCTGCTTAGCAGAGCTAGGCTCTGTGAAACCATGTGTGACAGCGTGTTCTTTCTCACTCGACTCGCTATAGCTGTGCTTGGGCAACAGGCTTTTGGAGTAACCTGTGTGGACTGTCCAGGTTTAGATGGCTCGGAGTTTGAGATGAACGTGCCGAACTGGATCACTGCCGGCGAGCTCTGGCCGAAAGTGATTTGCTGTGCTTTTCGTTTCGGATCTAAGACCCCACAAACAGAATCATGACAGCGGTCGGAATCTCCTAATAACAAGTGCCTTACTAGTAGTAACAAGTGCCTTACTAGTAGTAACAAGAAGCTAGTAGAAACAAGAATTAGAATTAAATTAATTTCCAGTGCAATTGGGAATCGTCAAAGGGCCGAGATGACTGCAGCCTCTGAGGACCTTTGCGACCAAATCTTTGACCATATCTCGATCGCGCCGCAGCACCGACGGATGGCTTTGCAACATGGAACGACACTTCTTGACCTGGACCGCAGCCTGAAGGAGAAACCCCCATGAAAGCGCGGATCACCTGCTTTTACCGTTTTTCGGGAATTGGTGGACGCCCCAATAGAAGAGGATGGCCAACCCAGGAAAAGTGGTTAACCATGATTTATGTAAACTGCAAGGCTTTATTGGGGGGGAGGGTTTTCCGCACAAATCCTTCCCGTGGACAGTTTCGTAAAGCTTTCTTTTCCAACCATCTCCGGTGGCTGAGAGGGTCCGGAAGAAGCACCCCAAACACCCGGTCCGCTGCGCAGAAAAACGCATGGCACTCCATGGAAAGTGTCCTTCAGCCGGTGTGACTCCATGTGATGTCTCCACTCTCCAGACCTTGGAAACTCCCACCATTGGTCTACCGAACACTGGTGCGTTCGAAGAATAAAACCGTCCAACTGTAATGATGGGAGTTTGTTTGAGTGTTTCTTAGTGGCATCCGTAGCTATAAATTAGCTTAGAATAGTCCAATATACAGTATAATTGTTTTCGGGTGTTTTCCTCGAGACACCGCGAGGCGAATATTTTTTTCCGGTTTTAGTGTTCGTGTCACTGTGGGGGAACAAAGCTTGCGAAGTGGGTACCAAGCTTTTCACTCCAGCCAAATGCAACCTTCGAGGCCTTGTCGTGTTGTCACAGAGGTCGTAAGTGCGAAGTGGGTGGGGACCAGCAATGTGCTTGCCATCAGACGAATCAGCTTTGATGTTTAGAAACCCTGAAGGATCAAGGTCTGCAGGAGAACTCAGCATTATCCTATGTCTTCATCGCTCCTAGCCTGAAGGAGGCCTTAGAAGCTCTCACAGGAAGCTCTGGTGATCCCCATGCTCTCGTGGGACTTACGACACTGCGAGGCGTGGCCCTCGATCACTTGAAGTTCCTTCCGAAGAGCCTCAAGAGTCTAACCTTTCGATCTGATTTCAACTCGGGTCTCGAAACGAGAGTTCCGAGCCTTCAGAGCTTAACTTTTGGATCTCACTTCAACCAAAGTTTGGCCGGAGTCTCTTTGCCAAGCAAACTGCGGGATTTGAGCTTTGGTTCAGATTTCAACCAGACTTTGGTGGGGCTGGACTGGCCAAGTGGCCTTGAACACCTTAGATTTGGCACAGAATTAACCAGAATTTGGCAGGAGTGCATTGGCCGGCCAGCCTTCGAACTTTGACGTTTGGTGACAAATTCGACCAACCTTTGACCGGAGTGACTTGGCCCTGCAGCTTGCGCAGTCTGACATTTGGTCATGATTTTAACCAAAGCTTGGCAGGAGTTGTTTGGCCACGCTGCCTTGAGAGTTTGACGCTTGGCGATGGGTTCAATCAGAGCTTGAAAAACGTGGTTTTCCCGAGCAGATTGCTTTCTTTGACGTTTGGAGATTGCTTCAACCAGAGCTTGTTGGCAACCACTTTGCCACGCAGCCTTCAAAGCTTGGCTTTGGGCTCAGGCGGCCGTTCAGGCTTCAATCAAAGTTTCGCAGCAGTGGCTGGGCTGAAGAGGCTACAGCGTTTGACGCTTCAGGGTGCTTTGAAAGAGAACGGGGAAGACGTAGCTTTGCCAAGCAACCTTCACAGCCTGATTCTTGGGTATCATTTCAAAAGTTTATCTGGAATTAATTTGCCACGCGGCCTTTTGAGTCTGTTGCTGGGCTTTAACCAGAGTTTGTTGGGAGTTGCATTGCCGTGCAGCCTTCAAACTTTGACCTTTGGTTGGGCATTCAACCAGACTCTGGTGGGAACGACTTTGCCAAGCAGCCTTCGGACTCTGACGTTTGGCTATTGCTTTAACCAGAGCTTGGTGGGAGTGGTTTTCCCTAGCCGCCTTCAGAGTTTGACCTTTGGATCCCATTTCAATCAAAGTTTGGATGGAGCCGTTTTGCCGAGCAGCTTGCAGCGTTTGACTTTTGGTTTGGATTTTAATCAGACTGTGAGTGGAGTGGCTTTGCCCAGCAGCCTGCGTTCTTTGACCTTCGATTTTGCATTCAACCAGAGTTTGGCAGAGGTGGCTTGGCCAAGCAGCCTACAGCGTTTGACGCTTGGGAGTCGTTTCAACAAGAGTTTGAAAGACGTCGCCTTACCAAGCAACCTGCAGCGCTTGAGGTTGGGTGACAACTTTAATCAGACTTTGGCGGGAGTGCTTTTGCCACGGGATTTGCGTAGCTTGAAGTTTGGTGCAGAATTCAACCAGAATTTGAAGGGATTGGTCTTTCCGAACCTTCAGAGCCTCACGTTTGGTTGGTCCTTTAACCAGAGTTTGCTGGGAATAGCTTTGCCCAACAGCCTTGAAAGTTTGACCTTTGGCTCCGAATTCAATCAGAGTTTGGCCGGAGTGGTCTTGCCCGGCAGCCTTCAGTCTTTGACCTTTGGCGATGGGTTCAAGCAGAGTTTGGCTGAAGTCGCGTTGCCTAGCAGTTTGAGATGTGTGCGTTGGGGCGAGCTCTCCTTGAGCACCGTTTAGACAGTGTCAGAGTGGCGATCAGCTTGCGACGCTTTGACCAGCTCCTGAGAAGCTCTCGAGACCAAAAGAATGCTGCATGATGCTGCATGGACGTCACTGTGCCTCATTCAGATTGCTGTTGTAGAAGTGAGCATCATCCTGGAGCCTCCCTGTGACCGAACGTGATCCCCCTGGTTTGAGGTCGATGGGACTTCAAAAAGGTCACTGGGAAGGTCCTGGATGGGACGCTTCTTTGATGTTTACACTCCATCATCACACAAACATCGCACTCCAGCATCTAAGAACTGCTGCGACCTCCAGATCTTGGGAGCGACAGCAATTTTGTGGTTGCTGCGGTTCCTTCTGGACCTTCTCAGGAGGTGTTTGGGTGGGTTTAGAGGGTCCAATCATACCTTCTGAGGAGGTATGACTGGAGCCCTAGGGAAGATGTTTATTCCATACCTGGACACTTCATGGGACTGGTATATCTTGCCGCCCCATTGACACTCCCCAAACCACCCTGGCCTGATCGGCATGACGTTTCCAGTGTTGTGGAGTTTTTGGGATATTCCCCATGAAAAAAACAGGGAGCCGAGACTACTCGGAGCCAAGCCCACGGCGAGTTCACGGCTCCCTGGGAGCATTTGCTCCCTGAGGCTTCCAGCCCACCGGAAACTGGTAGTGGATCTGTTGGGGTTGGCGTTTTTTCGGTTGCAGTCCACTTGTGCCTCAACAGTTCGGTTCCGCTACGATACAGTGACAGGTCCCGAGCGTCGCGTCGCGTCGAAAAAGGCATATAAAACAACTACATTCGACCGACAGGTCTCCATTCGACCGACCGGTCCCTGACGTCAGGGACCGTCGTTTCCTTTCTTTGACCGGTCCCTGACGTCCACGTGAGATGTGAATCGGGGCGGCGTATACGGCTCCTACGGTCAGAAAAAGCTAACTAGTTTGGTGCAATTCTCAGGGAGTGACCCAATTCATGAGGATTGTTTTCATGGTCTCCTGGGTTAGTAGCTAGGATTAGGTAACTAGGACTGGCGATTGACTGCTGATGCTGATGCTGTGATGGTGATTGCTTGCTTGTGATGAACGTGGTAATGAGGACCAGGTCGGTGCACCCAATTCGGCTGGATCCGCCCCGAGCCAGGTCGGGCCAGGTCGGTGCACCGAGGGCAACGAAGTATTAGCTTGAGTGCTCCAAGCTAAGAATTGATTTATACTCCCTATGGATCCACATACCGAACCTGAGGTACGGTGATTGGAGACTATTTATGTAGGCGCCAGGAGGGTCCAGTCTTACCTTCTGAGAAGGTATGTGGATCCATAGGGACTATACATCAACAAGCCACCACCCAGTTTGGGCTAGTTTTTGTTCGTGGTAGACAGTTGTTGATAGCTTTTGTCCGGCCTTCCAGGTCATGTTCATTGTTCATCCAAGCACCCGAACTGAGTGGTGCTCGTTGTCAGTTCATCTCAGCTGGTTCCTTTGTACAAGCTTAGTACAAGCTTAGATAAAGCGGCTTCTTCATATCAGCCGTTCAAAACATGGTGTTGTTATCCTTCTACCCTAGATATGAGCTTGGAACCTGGTTCATCTTGACTCCTTAAGATGAAGCGTTTGACACAACAGATGGCGTAATTACTCCACGGTCACGGTCGGAGTTCTCACTGGACTTAGTCGGCGCTTTCGCTTGCGGCGAGGGCCCTCTCCAGTGCAAGAGCATACGGCGGAAGTGGCAGAGCTCTTGAAGGTGGGATCGAAACGCTCCCTTGGGGCAGGTGAATCAACTCCACACTCTTGAAGCGTTGAACCAATTGAAACATACATGTTCATATTTTTTTGGGGGGTGGGTTGTAGTTTTAAGACGTGGTCGTTTTTAATGTCGTGACACGCTTTGAGAGGAGTGAAACTGTCACCAATGATTTCTGTGTGTTGCTTGCAATTTCATCCAAGAACAAGAGGGGAGAAGGGGTCAGAATCATGGCTGGTGGATTGCTTTGCTTCACCTTTCTTCAGGATGAAGATCCAGGCATTCGCTATTGGGCGCTGGAGGCCGAAATTCGGCGTTTCACCGAAGACGGCGTCGTGCCAGCCGCACTTCTTAGGCCGAAGACATGTTCAAGCCGGTGCTTTTTCTACAAGGATTATGTTCCAGAATTCGGTCATGTTCTAAAGGTCTCCGCAAGGCCAACCACTTTTGGAGTTCGGAATATGGTGGAATTGGTTGTTGGGACCAGGTGTGAATGGCCTCCAAGGTCATTTCATGAGTCAGTGAAAGTTCTGTCATTTTGCACAGTTTCAATCGCCTCAAACACGGCCCGGGCCCTGCCATTTGTGTTCCATGTTTGATCGTGTTTGCCGGGGAGAGGGGAGAGGAGCGAGAGAGGGAGAGAGGTATATGAGAGAGAGTGTGAGAGAGTGGGGGAGGCAGAAACGGAGAAAATAATCGCGCTCGAGACTCGACTCTGTCTTCTTCTCCCAAAACGGAACAAGGGATCGCAGGTCCAGAGTCCAGATGGCCAGTCAGTCTTTGATCAGCCTTGATGAAGGTGCATTAAGAGAAAGGGACTCTCCAATCCACTGATGTTTGTTCACTACTGTCGAGGTTCCATAAATCCAACATCATCCAACTGTCCTCTCTCAGAGTTACTGTATAGATCTGTATAGACTGTATATATATATATATATTTGTATAGCGAGTGTTAGTTCCAGGCACTCATTGATCAGGAATCTCCACTCAACCATCGACAGTTCCGAACTTCCCCACTGATCTCGCTGCTCCTCGATCCGACTGGTCCGGTGAAGCATCGACCGGTCCGGTGCCTCACATGGGCAGACCTTGGCGAACCAGGGCTTTGCCAGTCAGCCGCAAGCGCAGCAGCTCCTGGCCGCCTTGGAGGAGACGACGCCTCCGCGTCCGCGTCCGCGTCCGCGTCCGGCGACGAGCTCCTCTCCGTGACACCAAAGGCGGTCGGGTGCGGACCGGGTCTGATGGTTGGAAGAAACGGAAGAAGATTGGACGAAATGCTGGCCGATCTTCCCTGACCAGTTGCCATGACATTTTTTGTCCAGAAGCAGTGGGGCACAGAGAGCGTCCCGGAAGATGAGTGATAGTCCAGTACTATACTGTACTGCTGCATGGATAAGATTAAATCCATAAAGATCTTGCACAACACGTATTAAGACTTCTGAATCGTCCGCTTCATTCTCAGGAGGAGTGTGTTTCCCACCGGTGTTCCCCACCGGAGAGCTGGACCGAAACCTGGACTCTTTGAATCTGTTTCCATCCGCTCCACCCTCATATATCACCTTATTTTAACATCCCAAACACTCCATGTATGGCACATTTACCTACATTGACCCCCCAAACCACCCCTTTATATATTATAAACATGACATAACGTGGAGTGTCTGGACATCACCCTTTGCCAGTCCCTGACAGCCCCCAAAAACATCTCCTATCACCAACCAGAGTGATCAGCCCGCCCTCCATTCGGTCCGTCGGTCCCCGGACCGAACTCGCCGTCAGGACATCGACCCCCACTGCCGCTTAGCAGCCGCCAAGGCCGTTGCCAAGGTCACCCCGGACGATCTGCCGCAGGCGCCCCAGCACCGTGCCGTTTCGCACGGTCCGGCGGCCACACCGGTGGTTCGGCGCAAGGTTGGCGGAATTTTGGTGCTTGAAGAGTGTTCTTTTTTCTCAAAATGATAGAATCTGTTGGGGGGTGGGTTGCTCTTCTCATGTTTATCGACTTGTCAGTTTTGATGAACCGTGTATCATTCTTCTCAGTTTTGATTTTCATCGAATTGTTGTTTGTTGTTCAGTGTTTGGGTGATTCGAATACTGCAGGCCGATGGGCCGATTCATAGGGCCGGAAGGACCGAATGGATGGTCCCATGCGCATGAGACATGGGTGAAGAACCGAAGAACCGAGCCGTTGGACGAAGGATTTGACATAAAACCAGGTCAACCAGGTAAAACAGAACCTTTACTGTCTACAAAACTCAGAACAAAAACATACAAAACCCTCGGATATGTTTGGGCTGGAGAAATATATAGGAAAAAAAATCAATTGAAATAAATAATCATGATTGTGTGTTAATGGGCTACGTTGGGTTATATATGAAACCAAATAGCTTTTATGCACTTATAGGCTATTATATATTTGGATGAGGAACCATCAGCCATTTGCTCTGACATCACTGTAGTTTGACAGCATAGATCCAGCTTGAGGTATTCTCTCACCTACTTGTACCAGCAATATAACAATCGCTGTTTCATCAAAGGCCGCTGCTGTTCTGCTCTCTGTCAACTCGACTGTTGCTGGGTGTGAGATGGCGTGGGTAATATAATTGTATGTAATATACGCCCTAAGATCTGGGTTGTCAACTGGCACTGGTGAACGTGACATTCTGACCTTCCTTCCTTTCTGCCTACATGGCCCTGTAGTCCTCAAAGACTACCGGGATGGGGCTGCACGGGATTGGTGTGTGTGTGTGTGTGTCGTTTGCTTTTCTTTCTCACCGGCTCCGAGTGGGGGCCGTGCCGGATGAGGTACAAGATATACGTAGTTGAACCTCATAAAACATAATTTAAACAAGTAAATAAACCGCATATTTCCTCCATGAAATCAACAAGCCAACAGGAAAAGGCCCTCCATGCAATGTCCTGCTTTGAAATGGCTTTCTGGTCCCCACCATCGTCCCGCCACTTTGATGATTTCATTTTTATCAGAGTTATAATACGAGTTCATACAACTGGGAGACCCGGAGTAGGAGATAGCGCCCAAGTTTGGGATGCTTTGGGTGGCAATTTGCGCCCACCTAGTTGATCACTTGGGTCCCTAGAAGAGGCCCCACCATTTTCATGACGGGGCACCACTTGCGACAGCAACCACTTCCATGCACCTGTGGGACAGGGTATTTACGTGTGGCGCAGGGCTACCTGTGGCTTTCCCAGACGCTCCATGGTGTGATTTATTGGTGAATGTAGGCCATATGTTCATATACATCATAGAGTCTTAGAGCGTTTGGGTGTATGATGGATCCCGAGAGAGACTGAGAGACCACAGAACTGCAAGACCCGACCCTCCTCAAATCTATTCTGTTCAGTGGGAAAGGGTGTGCATGTTCATATCCCAGACACTCCATGGGACTGCTATATTTACAGACATAGAAGTGGTTTTGGGGGGTCAATGTAGATAAATATGCCAGTATTTGGGTATGGATCATATACGTACCAACAGCCTGGTACCCCGGTACCCAAGGGGCCCTGAGCCTTTGGGTGGCGGACTCGCGGGGCGTTTGTCGCGAGACTCGATCGGTCAACCAGGGTGGGTCACTCAGCCAGAGACAGAAGATTTCTCGATCTCTCCGGAATGGGGAGCGAAGCTCCGGCGTTGAAAACGGAAAACAAAAAATCGGATCGATGAAGAACCGGCAGTTTGGGAGATTCTTTTCCCCTAGGCCTCCAGTCGTACCTTTGAAGGTGGGACTGGGGTGGTCCGGTCATACCTTCTGAGGAGTGTAAGGTTCTGAAACCCAAGCCAATTTGCAAGATCTAGATGCCTCAAAGTTGGGTGCCAATCCCATTGATCCTCTTGGATCCGATAGTTGATCCGATCGTGTTTGGGAAAGAGATGGGGAAGAGTTGCCACACGAAACGGTGCAGATCCCGAAGGTGCGGCCAAGTTGGAGGACCCACGAAATAAGACGATCTGAGCACCATGTGACACCACGACAGTTGGACTGGGAACCCACCGGTGGCCACTTGGCAGGCGCCAATGCGGCAAACAGTCACCGGTCAGTACGGTGTAGCTTTTGAGGAACATAGCTCGCCTCCCTGTCTCACACCTGAGACATGCGTGCCCAAGAGTTGGACACCTGGGACCTCGCGCTGCCCTTTGAGCATGGGATTTGTGGTTGGACAAACGGCCAGGTCATTCACTCTGTAAAACCATCGAAAACAATCGACCATCGGTTTGTGGCAATACACAGTTCTCGTTTGGATTGAGTCCAAGAAAATGGCCAGCCGTGACTGCTACGTATGTTGTTGGAAAATCTATGGGGCGGTCCGATCGAGGAACATCTTGTAATGAATCGAACTGGTTTTCCATAGGCTTGGCAGAACCTGCAGTTGCTTCATTGGTTCAGAAATCGACCGTGAGCTGGGAAACCAACATTGTAAGGATCAATACGGTCAATGAAGTGTGAAGACATGCAACTGCACAGCAGAACCACGGAATGGCCTTAGCATCTTCGCGGTCGCAAGTGCTCACGTGCCGCAATGTATAATGAAAGACATCACCAAAATCGAGGCACTCACCGGGAATTGGCCTTGTTTCCTAGTGTGCCTGCCTGCTTTCCGCGCACGCTGCGTGCTGCCAGATCCGAATGTAATGGCTTCGTAGCAAGCAAGCTGCCGCACGAGCCCACAGATGTCAACTTGTGCAACAAGCACACCGAACCAAGAAGCAAGATGCGAAACATGCGCAAGCGATTGAAACTTACCTCCCACGCGACACTTTTCCCGGGCGGCTTCCAGGTCCAAGCGAAGTCTTAGGATTTGATCCAACCCTTCCTTTCTAACGGTCTTTTGAACGAAGTCTAGGAAAAGTCAGAAAGGGAAACTGCCACTGGAGGCTGCCGACGTACTGGTACGGTCTTTGGACATTGAGGAGCCGGAAATCTTTCGCAAGAGCTTGGGCCAACCCAGCTTGGGGATGGAAGGCCTTGGTGGGCCTATTATGGTATGAAATCTGTTGCTTGAATGAACCTTGAAGTTCCGCAGCAGAACTTTACAGAACTGATGATGGCAGTGATTTGTTTTGGATGTTTGAGGAGGGGAATTGTCTTGGATTTTTGCTTGAATTAGTTGGTGTTTGGAACGGTATGTGTGCAGGTCGGCACGTCGCAACAAATATCCTTGTGTTTTTGCTCCCACAGATGGTGAGCCAGTGCACCCATGGGACACGCAGTGCATAGTCGAGTCTCGTGTTCAGATTTTGATTGATTAAATATATATATATATAGAATGCACTACCCAGATGTCAGGATAACAGAAAAACAGGATTCCGCCGCCTGTGCGAGCTAGCTTAGGGTCACGATTGAAGCAATATCACGTGGTGCTGCGGACATGTTGGTCCCCACGACACGGGACACGTGCAACTGAGGTGCTGCAGAAGGCCTGGGATACATGGGAATTCAAGCGATGAAGTGTGGAGCCCCATTTGGACGGATGTTTTTTTTTTGTGTATTTTTGTGGCGTGTCCAGACAGGAACAAAACACATGGCCATTTCCAAAGCAAAACATGTTTTTGACATGTGTTTCGAGAGAGAACCCCTAACACGTTTACACCCGTTTTGTACCTTTTTTGGCAAAGTGATATTATTGGTGTCATTTACATTTCGTTGATCCATTGTGAGTTATGGTGTCAGTTCGGCATGTTCGGCCCCTCAATCCGCATTTGGTTTGCGTGGCAGAGAACAAACATTGGTTCGTTGATCATAACCCTTTGGTTTGAAGATGTTTGACATGATAACCCCAACAGTATCTCAAAAATGAATTCCGTTTAATTACAATTAATGTAATTGTGGGATGTTTGATTAAAAACTAGGTGTGTTTCACCCAAATTATATCGAATTATGTAATTGATAAAGCTGTCACGACTTTGCAACATCAATCAGATGTTGACAACATGTGTTTGCATTGGATGTTGGGATGTACAACAATTTTCCACGTTTTTTTTTGCCCAAGTTTTGACAGTGCTTTAGGATGTAGTATTGTTTTTTGGTAGTGTTTAGGCATAGCAGGAGTGACAACTAAGGTCTTTCGTCCAAGTTTTGACAGCTTTGATCGGGCTTTAGGATTTATATTGACTTTTTGGCAGCTCGATTGCATAGCAGCGATGACAACTAAGGTGCTAAGGTACTGTTTCAACCTCACAAAACAAATAGACAAACACAGGTGGAAGGTACCACTCGGTGCATCTGGAATTGTTTGGGGAAAACTCCCTTCCATTGGTATACACTTCTTGAAGGATTCTTTGTTCACCCTCCGCCGGCTCAAGCATGTGGGCAAGCACTCCAAACTGGGACAAAAGAACAAACAAGAAATTGTCACCGCAATCGAGAAGCTGGTACTAGCCCAGTCCTTTCAAAGGCATTTGCATGGATCATTGCCGGTGTGTTTGAGCGTGGACACCTTTGAGCAAGGACACGTGTTTGTGTGTCCACAAAAGTTTGAAGGAGTGATCCATGATTCATGCACCACCTTTGGTTTCGTTCGGGTGGTTTACATCCCTGATGAGGTAGAACTCCAAAAACTCCAAACTCTGTGGAGCTGGTCATGCGATTCACACGAATCCTGAATTTCACAGGGTGACCTTCATAACTTCATTGTGTCTCGCTGAGGTATCTTCCTCGTTTGGTCCAAGTGCTCACAGACCGCTCGGGGACCTAGCATCCGCATCCGACAGCACAATGGACGAGAATGGACGAGACAAGACTCGTAAGGAATAAGGCTGAATAAGGGAATGCATCCTGAGGCATCTCTTGTGGGGGTTCACTCGCTCATTCCCTACTCAGCACATTTCAGATGATGGACCGACGACAGGGAGGAAAATCGAAAGGACCGAGGAAATCCTTCAGAGCCAACAGGTGATTTCCACTCCCTTCCTCGTTTCCTCGTTTCGAGGGAGTGATTATCCAGCCCTATGGATCCACATACCTTCTGAGAAGCTGATCGGCGACTATTTATGTAGGCTTGGAGGCTCCGGAGAGTCCAATTACCTTCTGAGAAGGTATGTGGAGCCATAGGGCAGGGAGATCCGGAATCGATGTGAGTGATGAAGAGTGAATTGGCCAGCTCAGCTTTTCATTCAGAAAGGAGGCTCAGCTCACCCACATGCGAAGCTGCGAAGGTGGCTCAGTTGATCTTTTCATTACGTTGCGCGAGCCTTTCTTGAACCGCCCCACCATGGCTTTAGAGCGGGGTTTCAACTGACTCCTTCCAAACCTTGGGTCGAAACATGTCCAAACCAATGTTTGGTTCCAACTTCAGGAACGTCTTGAAACGCTGAGAACGGAAAAAAACGGACAAAAAGAATGAACAAACAGAGAGTTGGTACCGACCTCAGCACCGACCTGTTGAAGAAGCCCTCCGACTCCACAGTCTCATTTGCTGGAACGATTGGCGGCCACTCGGCTGCAGGATACGCCTTAGCACGGGCTGCAGCATGTGGGGCCATCGGACAACTCGGCCTGGGGCCTGGGACCAGCGGCGCCAGCCGGTGCCATCACCCGTTTTAGGAGACAACTCACCGTTCTTCCTAGCAGGACCCGACACCGTGGGGTGTCTATTTATCGCCCCCTACAGCTGTGAAGGGGTGTCCATTAACCACCCCTTGAAGGCCCTGGTATGTGAGCTGTTTTTTTTGGAGCGGTGAAAGGGTTTGATTTCTATGTGATGGTCCTTCAGCTGGAAGGGTAGGTCCAGGCTTAGAAGACCAGAGCTGGTGATCACGGCGCAAGCAGTTTGAGGACATCGAATCTATTAACACGGTTGTACCTTGATATGATAAGGTATATTGAACATCTTTCTAATTATATTATATATATATATATATTTATATAAATATATTATATAACAATATATAGAAAGATGTTCCAAGGTTGTACCTTGACATGATTTGATATGTATATGGCCTGTGCGGTGTATCACAAGTACCCGAGAACGATGGGGACTGCCTGAGATTTGTGATCCGTTGTTGTCTATGCTTTGGGGTCGACCATTATCCACACCCGTGGCCTGCACACAATGTGGCGCATAGATAGGTCTCGAACTATCGCGTCCCGAAAGTAGTACTTGTCCACTTGTTTGTTTATTGCTTGGAACAGGATTCACCTGGGGTGATATTACATCCATGTTTTTTTTGAGCCTACATCCATTCACCGGTCACGCATGAGGAATGAAGCTTTAGAGTGTCTATATGGAAGGATGAGCCTTTCTGTGGAGACTGGGTTCAATGCAGTACAGTTTTCAGTAACTCGTTAAACCCCAGCCTCCCTGACAAACATGTCGATTCTGACCCAGTGCTCATACCGCAAGGCTTTGAGTACTATAGAAACCCTGAGTTTGGCACAGTCACCATAGCCACGTTTACATTTGAAGTTGTGCCCGCCGGTAGCAATCAATCATGTATCCTCAGATCTACCTAAATCCAACGCATTGGGATCACTATTTGAATCGATCGGTCAGACATGTCCACTGCCAACAATTTCTCAATGCAGGGAGGTTCACACTGCTACCGAAAGTCTTTGGTCCCAATCATTGATTTGTCGGCCAAAATAGGCACTCCTCATCCACCTTATTCTACATCTTGGCCAATACAGGCTGCTCCCTGACGAACACAAAACTTATGCAGTGGTTTTCCACCCTGACGAACCCAGATGAACCAAGCCATCTACATTTAACCAAGTACATGTACAAATCAACTGAGTTTTGGGACACATGTACACATACAACACAGATGTACTTCTGCTACATGTGTCCTTTTGGTACACCAGCCACACCTCCAAGTCAGTCCCCGACCAGCTCTTGCCGCGTCCTCGGTCGTCGCGTCCGGTCGCGACATGCCAATCGCACCGGTGGTTTTTGGGTGCCTCGACACGATGACATGCCTTAGCTTCGGCATCCGTGGCTAGACCAATGGTGGCAGAAGTGCAAAAAGTGCGGAGTGCACATTCCTTTGTTCGGACGCGTTGCTAGGCAGACCAAGAAAGGCCTTTTCGGCTTCCAACGCCCACCACGTCGCAGACTTCGAGCTGCCCTCGGACCTCTCCGAGGCGCCGAGGCGGTCCAGCAGTGTTGTCGCCAGTTGGCGCCATGCTTGGAGGATGAAGATCTGGTGGGGAGCCCAACCCGCCTCCGGAGCCCAGTGTGGTGAAACCAGCCAGAAGGCAGCGTGTTCTCAGCATGAGGGAAGAATTGGGTGTGCCTTTTTAATGTTAACAAGTGTTTTTTTGGTGGGTTACCAGGAGAGCAGGTCATTGACGAATCTAGGTTCCTTTTAAGGAGATATGTTAGATCACCAGCCTTGAATGGAGCTTTGGCTTTGAGCATAAATATATATATATATTGAGAATTCAGACTCTGACGTGCCTCCTCAAAAGGCTCCATTGATATGTCGATTTGCACTGTTCACGGGTGGGAGTCTAATTCCTCAGCACTTCTTGAAGGAAAGATAGATTAAACTTCACATGGAACTACCATTTGGCTCTTTAGGCAAGTAGCTGCAAGTAGCACATAAGGAGCTTGTAAATGGTTGTAGCACTTCAACACATAGAAAAAGGAGATGAAAGAACACACTCATATTCCTGCACCAGCCCTACTCTTGTGACCCAGACCGCTGGCGAACGGTTTCCGCAACCCATTGGGAACTGTCGGTTTCCTGCGGGAACCGCGCAGGACGTCCGGCTGAAGGCCTCCGAAGCCTTGCAGTTGCTGGACCTCCCAACGGTGCGGGTGGCACAGCTCTGGGGGCGCAGCCTCAGAGGTCGAACAGGGTTTGGTGAGATCATTTTTGGTTGGAGATGAGCCGAAGAAAATACTGAACATATTGATATATATATAGATATTTATACAGTGTAGTGCAAACATATCTGCACTCCATGTATGCCATATATGCCTACATTGACCCCGCAAAACACCCCAATGTAGGCATATATGGCATACATGGAGCGTTCGGGTATTGATATATATCTATATGTAGTTAATTGTATTTATTTATTTATATTATTATATAGTGCAAACATATACTGTATATTTATATATATTAAAAAAAAAAAAAAACACGCACATGAATAAGATTATGCATACTGGCGGACCATCCTGTCATTGGTGTCCTGGCTGGACGAGCCTACACTACATTGCGGGATCTCCATTGGAAAATATCTCCATGTGCGGGAATTTGATTCAAAAACTTCAGCATGACACGCCTATGGGGGATTCGGAGTTCCCCGAAATCTCTTTAACTAAAGGGTAGGGAAGCGAGGAACGGCCCAGCAGAAGGAGACCCATCTTGCTGGAGTGAAGGCCCATATGCCTGGGACTCCAATTCATTTCCACCAACACATACCAAGACAATACTCTTCTTCGAAGCGTTGCACCAGACCCCTTCCGCGGACCCTTCTCCGCGGACCTCTCTTTCTCGGTGCCCCTTTGATGCCCAGCAGGCGCTCGCCTCCCCGGTGGCGCGGCTGCGCTGGTGGGGTGCCGAGCAGGCCTTCGAGCGCCCGGATGTGGAGCTGGCCGAGGCTGGCGACTCGGAGAGCTTAGAGACACCCGTGGAAGTCCAAGATTAATAAAAATAGTGATTTTAAAGATAGTCTTTGTAAATAGTGGTCTTAAAAGACTATATATAGCCGGGCATCGTCTTTAGGTGATCTGAAAGGAATGTCCTTGGTGCCAAGACTAGTCGAACTGGACTTCTCGTGGGGAATGGTTGACAGTCCTGGACCTCCGAGGCATCATCATCATTATCATTTCCAGACATACAATATCACATATACATATATATATATAAACCATGATTGGTCGCGCTTGACCCGTTTGATCGCTAGAGCGCCATCTAGAAATTGGTGCACGGTCGTTCGTGGGAGGCCTTAGCAAGCTTGCTGCAGGATGAGACGAAGGAGTTCCTTCGGTCGGGCCTGGGGTCAAGGGTTGAGGTCGCATTGAGTGGTTCAATGGTGCAGTGATAGGTACACTCCCGGAAAAGGTAACATAGACTCTGACGTCCTGGCCTGCCTGGAAGATAGTTTTCCTCTACCAGTGGTTTTCAGGGTCCATGTTAGTCTTCCAGGGTGCAGTCCTCAACTCATCTGAGCTACAGCCAAAACTTCCCCGCAATGGAGGATTTACCGGGGATTGGCGTGTGGGTGTGCTCCAGTACAAGATATGTTCTATCAGGTTTTGGACGTAGCTCATCTGAGATTCAGTCGCAGCCTGGTTGAGAACTGCACGTCGCAGCCGCAGAGATTTCTGAGTTGAGAGTGATACTTTCGACCTCTGTTTGTTTTTGACTCGTCTTGTTAAAGCTGCCTCAGCAAAGATTCCTAATCGATACGATGGCATATGATGGCGATTCCATTCTATTTTATTTGTACCAGTTGTTGGGACCGGTTTCGGATTCCACCTGGTGCAGCCCTCCAAATTTCTTGAACCCCTTGTGTGGCACTAGCTATTTCACCGGTATCCACAGGCTTCGATGGATTCCCAGAGCTATATCTCAGTCATCTAATTTCAGGTGCAACCAAACTTGGATGACCTCACTTACACCCTCCCAAGATGCAGATCAGATGGCATCATGTTCATTGTTTTCTAGTGCCATACTGTACTGATTCTCACAGATCCACATCCAGCTTCACTTCTTTTGTTACCATCCACAAACCTTCAAGAGGCCTTCATTCACTCGCTCCCAAATAATTAGATGTTAGAACATTTGCATATTTGCTATATATCACTATATCACTATATTATAGTCATCATATATCCAACAAGTTTTTGGACCGTGAGTTCTTTTTACTTCCATCCATCGAACCACCGACACACCGCCCCTCACCCAGGAGGTCCGTGCCGCCGCCGCCTGGGCGCTCAGCGCCTTGGGCGAGACAGCTGCGGAGTACATGGCCTTGGTGACCTCCGCGGTCAAGGCGCCGGGCGCGACCGGTCGGTTGCCGCGAGGGAAAGGGATGGAAATCCGGGAACGGGCACCGCGGTGCAAACGGTTTGAGGCGGGCACCGCGGTGGAGAAAGCCTGCACCTGGGTGCAGTGCTAAAAGTTTTAAAAGCTTTAACATGAGCTATAAAGACCTACACACACCATGGAAAACCCACAAACAAATGGACACATGGGGTTATAAAAAAATGTCATAATGTTCGTCTCATGTTTTTCCACTTGCCACCTCCGTCTTCTTCTTCAGTGCCTCTGTCAGTGCCTGACGATCAGTCCGGTGTTTCTCGAGTGCCTCCTTCGGTCGCCAGGACGAGCATCCGGACGTGTGGCCTCCGATCCTGCGAATCATCTCCCGACACCTGCCCGAGGCACCCAACCTCAGCGTGGGCGGTTTGTGCGGTTGGTGGGGGCGGTTTGTGGGGTTTTGGGACGAGGGGTTTTCAGCAACTGGGGCCCTTTGAAGTGGCGGAAGATGTTGTGAAGAATACGCTGCAGCCTTTCAGATCGATGTACTCGTAGAATCTTGTATGTACCGTTTCAGCACCGTACTGGTATGTACTGGTACACAAGAATCATAAAGAATCATATGGGATATCTTAAATGCATTATCCACACACCCCTCCGAGTTAGCAGAAACTTTTTTGCGGATAAATTTCAACGGTTAATTTTTTAGGCTGGGGGGGTCTGTATGTGAAAGCTTACTGCGGTTAAATTGTGTGCTTCTCCAGGCAGAAAGCAACCGAAAGCATTGCGTGCTCAAAGTGTCCCCATCAACTTGCAGGCTGATGGATGTGAGGGCACAGACAACAAGCCTAGTAGGATCTAGGGATCTAGTAGCATTCACACCTCTAGGTTCAGGTGCAAAGGATAAAGTGCTTGGTTTGTTGGGCTTTAATGTTCCGGGAAAGGAACGCTATGAACATCTGCTGTCTATGATTGCTCTTGCATGCTTTTGTAGGGTCCCTGGACCTTGATTGTTGAATAATTAAATGACAAATGGTGGTATCCTGGATAACTTGTTGAAATCTATATCCCAGGGTCTAGTTAAATAGTTAATTATCCTGGGGGGTTGAGGGGGGTCCTTCTAAGATAACCCATATATCAAGAATCTGTACCACCCAAACCCGCTCGATTTGATTCTCTTTCATGAACAGGGACAAACTGCGCAGCCAACACATTGAGCAGATTATTTGGTACTGGGTGGTCCAGGTAGTACCATACATAGGTAGTTACAATCAGCTATGAACCCCCCTTGGACCTTCTATAAGATTGGTGCATCCATTGTTTCTTCGACAAATCACTCATTGTTTGCTTCAGAAGCTGGCAGAGTGACGCAGAAAGGATCTACGCAGTGGACATAATGTTTTTACATGAGACTTTCTCAACCTCCCTCGTTCATATTCTCATTAAAGACAGTCACGCGAGACCCCCAGGCCGTGAGATTGCCATGACAGCTCTGGGATCTCAATTGGCCGTTGCGTACAGCACAGACAAAAACACACAATCACATCCTTACGTCCTTCACCCGAAGAATCAAAACCATAGAAACCCATGGAAGAGCAACAGAACTGAGATCCAACCATAAGAAGACCTGCAGCATTGTTCAATGGCAAAACTGGCAACAGAAAGGTGTGGGTGTTCCGATCTTCCCCGGGTTTTTTGGCATGCTTCTTCTTCATCTCAGCATCGCCCGTTTCAGGCGCTGCCCGAATCGCTGGGAGAGGTGGTCCAGCATGTGACCTCCAGCGAGGCCCACAGGCGGATCCGACCGAGGGGAGAGGGAAGGGGACGGAGCCATGCAAGATGAACATCCAGGAGGATGGATGGCCAGTTTGAGATGATGGCCAGTGAGTTTGAGAGTTGAGCTCATTTTTGTCTGCTACCTTTGTCCTATCCTTCTTCTGACGCATGTTTTTGTTGCCTTGATCTTGTTTCCCGTGATGAAGGAACCACTCAATGAAGAAACAACCGCTCAGATTCCTTTCCATCAAGTTCTGTTAAGCCTTTTTTCCGAAGATCATGATCTGATCATGATATATTTAATATTTTATGGAAACGGCTTTAAAACGATGCAACAACAAGAATCTGTAGGCCACTTTAGTAATGATCATCCCGCCACTTCCGGTCTCCCGTGGTATGCCAGGCGTTTGCGGGCCATCGAGGCCCTGGGCGCCGTGGGTGCCCCAAGGGTCGTCTTCTCGGTCGGGTCCCACTCAGTGCCGAAGAAGGGGGCCCCGAAAAGCGTCCGGTCATGGTCAGACAAGATTTATATAAGAAAACACCTTTAGACCATGTGTAAGACCTCTTGTCTGATAGGTGTTTCTTGATTTCGAAGGGTTTTGATATGTCATTGTCATGTCTACAAGTGCCTTCCAAATGCTTTTTTGGAGAGACATGCCTGTCCCGTCCTTCGGCGAAGACGCGCCCTGCGTTGGAACCCGTCACTCTCGGTGAAGGGTGAGCCGCGGGCCCGGCAATGGGCGGCTTTCGATTGGAGGCACCCGCCCTGACGGTGCCGTCACAGAACAAAGCGAGTCAGTCAAAGACTTCATAGTATTCCCTCCACCTCCAGTCTTACCTCCTCAGAAGGTATGACTGGACCCTCCAAACCTACCCCAAACACCTTCTCAGGAGGTACTTGGAGGCCTAGGGATTACAGAAGGCAAAGACTTCATAGTACTCTCCCGCAAACTAACCTGGAACCCGAGAATTGACCGGTGGTTTCGACCATTTTCCGCATACCAACCCAGTGGTTTTGGGGGGTTCCATGTGATCCTCTGCAGGGGAGGATTCAGACAGTCCAAATGGTTTCAGTTCGTCGATGGAGTTGGGCACCTGGCTGAACTAACCGTAAATCAGAGCTTTTGTGGGAGTTTGTTATATCGATACACCAGACTGCGCAATTGTAAATGAATCTTCAGCTTCAACAAAGCCGGAAAGTAACATGGAAGACCACTTTAAGATACTTTGGGGATCATACATGGATCTTCTTCAAACGGCACTATTTTTTGCCAAGGGCATTTTTTCAGTGAAAAGATGCCGTATTCAAAAAAGACCGTTTTAGGGGGTTGCAAACATGTGCTCAAAACAAAAACACCGTCTTTGGAAAAAGACGCCGTCACGGCACTTGTTCTTGAAACAGCGATCTGTGAAGATCGCAGGTGTATACCCTCATTGGATCGAAGCCATACCTGGCCCGCTCGGGTTCCGAGGATCCCCTGCCGTTCGTCTGCTCGCCGTCCTGAGGCTCGTGATGCCTCGCTGCCCTACTTGGAGCCCGTGGTGAAAGCCTTGGAGGACCGGCCGACGTGGTGAAAGCCTTCGGGCGCGAGAAGAGGGGAGTCCAAGTCCAAGCGGTCCGTGCGGTCCAAGCGGTCGCAACAAAGCAGTCCAAGTCATGACTTCTGGGTTTTTCTTAATGCATTGTGCTTGTTCGATGTGCTTCATGTCATAGCTCCGGCCTCATGAATTCACTTGGCTGGCCCAACGAGGCCTTTCTGGACCTCCAGTCAAACAGTTTGTTAACATGCTGTCAGACCTGGATAGCCTTGACTGCGCATGTTCTTGGCCCCAAAACACAAGGTTCACGAGGGTGTACCCTCCAATTTGGTTTGCGTATGTGTACCAAGCCCTATCTCTAGCTTCAACCATCCAATGATCAACGTCAATATGTTCCTTCTGAAGACATGTTTTGCTTTTGTGGATTCAAGAAGAAAACACTGATACTGGAAATGGGACTTGTGTATAATTTTCATTTATACATTATATGATACCACGAACATTCTTTCCTTCCAGAGGGTCCCTGGATCCGGACCATCAGTGCGAACGAACTTGCTGGGCTCGTTGGTCCATGAAGCAGATCAGAATGAATACATCAGGCTCAACGAAAGGAATCCCTCCAACGCAGCACCCCTCCAACGGGCCACATGGTCACACCACCTGTGACCATCCTCCAAGTCAGCCACCACAGCTGTGACTTTATCTGATGCAAGGGAGCTCATGCAACGCTCCACGCTCCCAGCCTGCTGAAACCCAACCAGGTCATCCCCTATAGCCAAAAAGAAGTCATGCGTCACTCGCGGTGAAAGCGCTGATCCAAAACAGAAGAATCCAGAAGCCAAACAGAAGAGCAAGGCAACACGGGCCGCACCGGGCCATGGGGAGCTTGGAGGGGCTCGTCCCAAAAGCTTGGAGGCTGGTCTCGAAATCGATTTGTCGGGGAACCTGTGGAGTGTTTCTTTGTTTGTTTTTTTGTGTGTTTAATATTTGCATGCTTGTTGTTGAGTGTTTCTTTGTTGTAATACGGGTTGCATTGCATGAAGCTGTTGCATGTTTGTTTGTGTTTGTTTGTTTAGTTTTTGCCTGTGATGTTTGCATGTTTTGAGTGTTGTTTGCAATGTCTGTATTTCTGTTTGGTAAGTTTTGTACTGATTGCATGTGGTTGACTTTGTGTGCGTTGTTTGCAAGTTTCGCAACTGCCCAGAGGATCCAGAAGGCACGCGCCGAATATGCATATTTAAAATATACTGCCTCCGATGCAGATCCCGGATGATTGTATCCCAGACACTCCGTGTATGGCATATTTACATACATCGGGGTGGTTTGGGGGGGTCAATGTAGCTAAATATGCCATACATGGAGTGTTTGTGTATAGTATATCAGAAGAATACGTCCATCATTTTTATAGTGCGGTGCACTATTATAGAAGATATGACCACTACTGAAAAGTAGGCGATGTTCTAAGATTCAAAAATAAGCAGGTCCGAGGCAAATAGAAGATGCAAGCAGACTGAAGAAACGTGCAAGCAGACTGTGTAGGTTGTTCACGCAAGTAGGCTAGTCCAATTGAAGAAATAAACTATGAAGTAGGATGTTTTTGAATTCATGGAGAATGCAGTTGAAAACTTCAGTGTATGTTTCTCGCACTAAGCCTTTTGATGCGTATACCTTCAAAAGCATTGCAGGCCCCTGAAGTTGGCACCGTTCAAGCGGACCTTTAGCCACGTGATCCACGAGCCGTGAAGATGGCCTGGCCTGACCATCTTTAAAACTCGGTGACCCAGCCACAATGAGAATTCAGCAAGCGCCACAGACAGTGCCACACAAAAAGCAACTGTGCTTCTAGTGTTTGGACCTGCTAGTTTAAGAGAGCTCCATTGACCAACACAGGTTTTCCTGGTGAACCACCTACTGTTGAGTGTTGCATGCTCCACGCGCAAACATGGCAGTATCGAAACCAACTGACTTACTAGCATCAACTATCATCAACTGATTTAAGTAACAACTGAATTGTATTCTAACAGATTTCTTAAACCTGTACTTAACACATGATTTGACATGTTTACAATGTAGTATGTGCCTTGCCTTGAGACTTGTTTTAATACACAAAGCTCCATTTCTGCTTACCACGCTTGGTGCACACTGACCTTTTTCCGCATTTCCGCTGTAGTAGTTAGTAGTTCGACAGAAGCTGTGGCTATTCCCAGCATAGGCATGAAAGAACCACTCAAAGGCGCGAAACTACGAAAGGCGCCGCAAGATCCGCAAGGGGGGCTCAGAACAGAAGCCCCAACAAGCAAGATCGGCCATCTCGAAGCACGGTTTCATGGGAACATGACCGTGGGTCTTTCCCATGTCTCAAGAAACTACGTGGGTCTTTCCCGTGGGTCGCGGTCGAAGACATGAGAACCAAGATGCGGACAAAACACCATCAAAGCATTTCTTTGGAAGAGGAAAGCACTTACAAGACAGAAAGCTCCTCACAATCGAGCCTTGCGTGGGAAAAGCAGGGGGCTCCAAGGAAATCAAATGTAATGCATTCATAATTAAGCAAGATCCGCAGCAAACAAATTGGAACTTGGATGCGCATAATTCTCCTCGTGTGTTCTCACACGGGGCATTCCATCGAAATCACACGCTGACTAACGAAGGCGATGTAACGAAGTTCCGGAGCGAAAAAGAGAAATCGAACGTGCGCCTGTGAGATGGCGCATGGACCACAATCGTCCAAACTGGGCTTGCACAGCAAACTAGCTACTTTTGTGCACCCAATGGTGGCTAAACTTTGGCAATATGTGGCGCTAGCAGCATACACAGTTCACACTCTTGTAATGTGGCATTTGTTTTGAACAACATCTTGAAACAGGGGAACCACATGTTGTTAGATTTTTGTTTTAGACATGAACATTGCACAAGGGCTTTTCATTGAAACTTTGGTGAACATGGTAAGAAAGTTTGGTTTGGCTGCTTGAAAGTCTATCAAACCTTTGGTGAAGATTCCATGAAACTCTCACCAAACTTTCTGCAAGAGTTTCAGGTCTCCATCTCTTACCGCCTCTCCTTGATCTCTTACCGCTGCAGGCCGCCGCCCTCACCGATGTCGCCGCCAATGGCGCACCCGGCGCTCCTGGCGCCGCCGGTGTCGCCCATGGCGTCGCCGGCGCCCATGGCGCTGGCGTCAGCGGCACCGCTGTGGGGAGGCGGGGAGGGTGGTGGGGGAGCGAAGCGGCCGGGACCAAAGCGGCGAAAAAGACACACAAATGGTCACCAGGTGAAGTCATTTTAATATAGTCACTATATGCGAAAGACGTGCTTTTCTTTAACTCCGTTGAAGGGTGCAACAAAAATAGACGTTATTTCTCGGTTTGTTACTTTTTGTTTAAACGTGCTCAAAGATCCACTCGCTGTGGAATTAGATTGTTGTTTTCGACGTTTGGCTGGATAGGTGAGAAGAGATTATCACTAAGAGAGAGAACATGAACATCACTTCCTCCTTATCGACGTACGTACAGTAGATACGACGTAATGAATCATAGTTGAGCTCCTTTTTGGTGCTTTTCCGCCGACCGGCTCCGGTCGGTGTTCATTGACGCTCCGGTCGGCTGGACTGAAGGACAGACGACGGCCCGTCCATCCACCGGTCCGGTCGAGGAGACACGCCGCATCCGGGTCCGCTTGGAGTCGAGAGACACGCCGCATTCGAAGGAGACGGCGTCTGAATTCATGGTGTTTCCACACACGCCGCGACGCCGCGACGCAGCACATGTTTCTTTTTTGCCGCAGCACTTTGCCCGTTCTTCGTCTTTTCCGGTCCCCCTCGCAACACATCTCGACACTTCCAGGCCCCCCGCGACACTTCGAGGCTTGGCGACCCCAGGCGGTGTGGGTGCAAACGTCTTCAGCGCCGGTTTGCTGATAACAGAGAGGAGGGCTTAGTCCCCAAGACATGACAAGAACAAAAAGCAGGGATAACACAACGCCCTTTTTTGCTACGGCATCGTCTTCCCTTGACGAAAAACCAAGTGGAACGGAAGAGCCGAGATCTTCTCGCAACGGGCGTTCTGGTCCTTTCGTTTGAGTGCAGTGGAGGGGTTCAACGATGGAGGTTTGCAGCACGGTCTCAGAACGTGGTCCCTGGCCAAGGTAAGCAGCCAACTTGCCTTAGGGGAAAGGCGTAGTTTTGGCAAAATACAACTTCAGTTTTGACATTTGATCTATTGATTGGTGATTCGACTGCACACTGGTTCGCTACTGTTGTTGCTTTTGAGTTTTTGTAAGTTGCCGTTCGCTGCTGTTTTCTCAGCGCAGGCGGAGATGCACATGGTCGAGCTCATGCTACAGGAAGCAGAGTGTCTTGACAAAGTGGTTGTCTGAGCTAGCGGCTAGCGGGCGTTTTCACCGTGCGATGCCATTTGGGTGCCGAGGGGTGGGGGCGCTCGTGACTTGCAAAGCTGTTTTTGTTTTATGCGTTTCTAGGACAACAGCAATGCTCCTGGGACTGATCAACAGCAATGCTTTGCTCGAAAAGAACGACACGTCCGCCTTGATGCTACGGTTCTGCTGTCTTTCTGGTCCGTCGAGTGCTCGGTAGAGGAGACGTGATGAGGGACGCTGTAGACCAAAATTACAGTAGTCCATTTGTACGGTATGCTTCATTGGAAAACGACAAAGGGTCATTGATCAATTGGGATGTGATGCTTTAGCTGACCTTTTGAGTGCAAGTGGTTTTCATACAGCTGCACTTGTTTGGATCGAATCCAAACAAGTGAATGTGCATTTGAGGATGGCATTTGCAATAGCATCACAAGAACAAAGACGTATTGGAATGCTTTGGATCAGCATCACAACGTTTCGAAACTCACGTGGGGACAGATTCATCATGGAGAACAGATCGCCCCCAAAATGCTCAAAACCTTTGCTTTATGATGTGTTCATGAAAGAAGTGTGATGCTTTTCACAAAACTTCTAAGCCAGCCATGTTGAACAAAGATCCAGACATCCGAAGCTGCTTAGACATC